TTCAATACGGGTCATTTTACTACTTTTTTAACCGACACTAATATAAAACATGTATAATTAAACTAATTTAGTAAAGATTGATATTATGCAATCTTAATAATTATTAAATAAACTCTAACATCTATAAATTTTTAAAAATATGAATTTTAAAAAAAAAATTTATCCCGCGGTGTACCGCGGGTCAACATCTAGTTATGACATAAAAAATTTCAAACTTAATTATGAATTTGATGAATCGTTGTTAAAGAAACCCAATAAAATTAGTCATACATGGAAAATACAAGTTAATTTTCTTATATTACAAATTATAAATTTATTTAATTTAAAAAAAAATAAAAATCTAAGATACCCAACTTAAAATCCTACCAATAAACACATCTCAAAACTAAAAACAAAATTAAAACTCTTAAACTCTACTTTTTCAAATTTAATACTAAATTAATGCTAACATACCCTAACTAAAATCCTCCCTATAATGTTGCTCTTAGATATCCTACAAAATATATACACTGGACCATAAAACTTGTAGCTAATTTTCACATTACCTACATAAATGCAGCACTTAATGTAGTTTCGGTTTTGTTAACCAACCTATCCTCTAATACAGATCTGTTGACAGAAGAAAACCAAAATGAATCACACACTTACACATATGCACACCGAAGGAGAATTTACAAATGAACTATATCATATACTATCATAGAAATATATACAAATGAACTATATACTATGATAGTAACAAAGGCAGTTTTATTCTTACGTCGTCGAGTTTAAATGGATAGTACTCAAGTCGAAAGCGACACAATAGGAGAATGTGTATCATCTAAAGGAGACAAAAATTTGTAGGTAACCTAACTGAAACAATTCAGCAGTCGATTCTAAAATTAGAGTTAGGTGGTTTAGGTCTTTTAGGTGGGTCTCTTTTAATAATTTACGCTAACAATAAGACTACGTATCTATATTGACGTCTATGTGTTTGTTTCCTTTCGATTGTAAAAACCAAAAAATAAAGAATAATGAAAGTCAACCAAAAATTATTTCAACCAGGACGAGACATATATTATAATTATAAATGATACATACAAACGTATTTTTGATCATACAATTTATGATCGTTGCTTTCTACTTTGTAGTACTTATATTTTCCATATTTAACTATATTTATAATTTATAAACTATATAAGACCGATGGCTATCTTTCAATTGCATGAGGAGAAACAAAAAACAAAGTTGCATTCGTTTAAAACTCTCAATTATTACTCACGTTGAGAGAATGTATATATATATCGAGATTAGATTAAGAACTATGATAAGATATATACAAAGTCTTTATCATAACATGTATTGCGTAAAATTATTTGTTTACAATGGATTCGTTGGCTAATCACGTTAGATGATGGTTAGGCAGTCGCTACAAGACTACAACTAGGCAGCAAAAAAAACTTGATCACCCATCGATCGTTTTTGCCCCCTCCATAATTGATTAAAGAATTGAAAATGAGCAATGCAACAAATGATTGCTTATTACAATCATTGTTTTTTTTTTGTATCATATTAATAAAAAAACCTAATTGAAATTAATATATCCATGAAAAAAGAAGAAACTCATTTTGTGTCGACGACATGCATTGGAACAACGACTTTGTGTTCTTATTTTTTTTGTTTGACTTTGATATTAGCTAGTCACGGTTTCTCACTATTAGTTTCATTATATCTCATATATCCCTAACAATTCAGAACACAAGGTTGGTTTTGAATGATATTCTCATGCTTGGATGTGAATGGAAACAAAACAAGGTTACCATGCATATCTTCAAGAAGTCATATTTATTCAACATCAGCATCAGTTATAATGTTTTTGACTTTGATTGTAGTCTCTCACGTTTATGGAAAAAACTTCTTTATCTGGTCAAATACCATTTTGGTAAAAATAATTTCACTTCACGCAATATGAAAGGATATATCAGTAAATAAAAATACTTTAAGGGTTTAAAATAGAATTTGGTCAAAGGTGAAGGATTCGTTTCCAAAGTGTTTCCCCGTAAATAATAAATAATATTTGTGTTTCCAAAAAAGGGGAGAGACCTTAATTGAAGGGGGAAGGAGAGAGTGGTGACCAGGTCTCAGAGTTGTGGTTTCGTTTTGCATTGCACGTTTCTTCTCCTTCGCTCCTCACTTTCTTCTTCTTCCTCCGCTTCTCTCTCTCTTTCTCTCCCTCTCAAGTCTCTCTTACGTTCTTCTCTCTCTCTCTCTCTCCCTTCATAACGTCGCGCCTTTCGCCATTTCAACCATTCACACAACTCTTCTTCTTCCTCCCTTTCTCTCTCTCTCAATCCGTTTTCTCTGCATAATTCTCAGGTACTCTCTCTCTCTCTCTCTATCTATGTCTTGTCTTGTCTCTTCCTGTTTACCCGATTTGTTAACCTAATTTACAGACATAATCAGTTTCTGATCAAATGTTTTGTTGAATCAATATACAAAATTGGCAATTGAAACGTTTCTGGGTTTCTTCTGATCCGTGATTTCTCAGTTGGGTTTTCATTAAAGCTTAGAAATTTCGATCAAATTCAACGACTTTACACAGACTCTTTCCTGCATTTTTGTTTCTCTGTTTTGTTTTTTGTTTGTTCTGTTCTGCGACAAACATGCTCTCTTGCCTAAGAACTTTTTTTTTTGTTCTTTCTCTTTCCAATTAACATATGAAATTATAATTAATAAATAATTGAACTTTGATCCTATTTTTTTTCATAAATGTATTGAGCTTTTTGTTCTGTCTTTTTCCTTGTTTTTTGATTCTTTCATTTTTGGTCCCACGTCCAACATATTTTATATATTTATTCTTCTTCTGTGGTATATGTTTTGACTTTGTATGCATTGCTTCTTTCACTCCAAACAGCAATGAGCTTCATGACTGCTGGCTACTGAATCTTGAATTTGTGTCTCAATATTCGAAAAAGTAAAGACTTTGAGGTAATTTAAGTTCAGATTCTTCTGAATCTCCAATGCTAAGTTTCTCTAGAGCTAGAAGTCAAGGAAGAAACACAAGACCTCTGGGAGGTTAGTCTTCAGTTTTACATATATATTTGAATCTCTGGATCATTTTAGAGATATCTATATGATCAATTCATTTACTTTGATTTTGACAAATTCAGGGATGGAATACTTAGAACCCAAAAGGAAGAGCAATGTCTTGGGCAGGATTATCTTGGTAGTTTCTCTTACAGCTTTTTGCATTATTTTGCTCAAGCATGCACCGAGTTTCACGTCTCCAACCGCGGTAACTCCACAATCCTATTTGCTAGAATCTTTTGATCGCTTTCTCTTTTTCTTAATGTCTGGAAACATTTCTCCTTGATCTGCTTCTTAAAATGCTTCTTTCAGTTGATGTTTTTGTAATTTTACTATTGTTGCTCTTCACAGTTCTCTCGCACCGAGGAAGGCGTGACTCATGTGTTAGTCACTGGTGGTGCTGGATATATCGGATCACATGCTGCGTTGAGGCTGCTAAAGGAATCATACCGTGTCACCATTGTGGTAAAGTTTCTTTCTTTGATTGTATTCAGCAATTTATTGGGGAAGTAGCCAAACTGCAATGTCTGGTTTCGTAACACTAATCATTTTGTCTCACAAACAGGACAATCTTTCTCGCGGGAATCTTGGCGCTGTCAAGGTTTTACAGGGATTGTTCCCAGAAGCTGGGAGGCTTCAATTCATTTATGCCGACTTAGGAGATGCCAAAGCTGTAATCATTTGTATCCCTAAGATTCTTTTGGGAGTTTTTTTCCTGGTATTTTCTTATGAAGTATGGGGTTTGATCATTTCAGGTCGATAAAATCTTCTCAGAGAATGCGTTTGATGCTGTTATGCATTTTGCGGCAGTAGCATATGTTGGAGAGAGCACTCAAGATCCTCTAAAGTAAAATTCTCTAGCCACTGTTTTGTACATAACATCTCTGCAAGATTGGAGTTGTTTGTCACTAATCTCATGTCGATTTTTTGTTCTGTAGGTATTACCACAATATTACATCAAACACATTAGTAGTTCTTGAAGCTGTGGCTAGACATAAAGTGAAGAAGTTGATATATTCAAGCACATGTGCCACTTATGGAGAACCTGACAAGATGCCTATTGTTGAAGTTACTCCACAGGTACTCAAAACAGTTTCAGAAAAACTCTTCTCTTTGGCATGATCATGTCTCATCAAATTTGGAAGTTATCGATCTTCAGGTCCCAATTAACCCTTATGGAAAAGCTAAGAAGATGGCTGAAGACATGATCCTGGATTTCTCTAAAAACTCTGACATGGCAGTCATGATCCTAAGGTGAAATCCACGTCTCTGATTCTGATTTGATCAACCAAACAATGTCTCATGATCTTTATTACTTCCACAGATACTTTAACGTGATCGGTTCAGACCCAGAAGGTAGACTAGGAGAAGCTCCAAAACCTGAGCTACGCGAACACGGGCGGATTTCAGGTGCTTGTTTCGATGCAGCTCGTGGCGTGATTCCAGGCCTGCAGGTAAATAAAAACACCCATCAGACTCTCCTTGCTTTCTCTTCACTCAACTCTTATAACTTGAAAAAATGGATTGAAATTCGGTTAATCTATGAATAGGTGAAAGGAACAGACTACAAAACAGGAGATGGAACCTGTGTTCGTGACTACATAGATGTTACTGACCTTGTAGATGCTCACGTTAAGGCTCTCCAGAAAGCTAAGCCTAGAAATGTCGGAATCTACAATGTAGGTACTGGAAAAGGAAGATCTGTGAAGGAGTTTGTGGAAGCTTGCAAAAAAGCAACAGGAGTAGATATCAAAGTAGATTTCTTGCCTCGAAGACCTGGAGATTACGCAGAGGTTTACAGTGATCCGGCAAAGATTCTGAGAGATCTGAATTGGTCTGCTCGTTACACTAATCTTCAAGAAAGTCTCGAGGTTGCTTGGAAGTGGCAAAAGACTCATCCCCATGGATATGCTTCTTCTTAAAGACCCAAGAAAAAAAAGAGTTTTAACTTAAAACTTTTTGCATAATTGTTTTTGAGAGATTAGCTTATAGAAAGGAATTGATTTGTTACAGAATTACAGTTCAATAAGTATTATTATGGTATAATTTGATACAAATTTATGTAAGAATTAACCAGTGACTTTATATATAAAGAGAGACAGAATTCACAACTCAATATTGAATATTCCATATTGTAACCACAACTCTTGTTAAAGGACAGTTCATAATATCACAGAATGAGAATATGAGAGCTGTGGATTTGCTTAGTGAAACCTAGTGAGTTCTTCAACTCTCTTGCACAAGTCCTCAACTTGAACATCCAAACCTTTGACTTTGAGCATGTGTAAGTCAAACACATTCAACATACAGGGATACAGAATATAGATATTTATGAGAAGCCCATTTAGCCCATTATGAAATGAAGCCCATAAAGTAAAAGATACTTGTATAAACCCTAAAAAACTCGCACTTCCCGATTCTCCCAGCCAAAAAAATCCCCCAATTTGGCCTCTCGATTTAGTTTTTTGAAACCCTAAGCTCTCGATCTGTTCGATTCGAATCTCTCCGGCGTAGTTGATTTCGTCGGCTGAAGCTCTGCTTGTAGTGAGTGTTACTGTTTAATCGGCGAAAATGTCGATGTCGAAGAGTTCGAAGATGCTTCAGTTCATCAACTTCAGGATGCGAGTGACGATCCAAGACGGAAGACAGCTCGTTGGGAAGTTCATGGCGTTCGACCGTCACATGAACCTCGTTCTCGGCGATTGCGAGGAGTTTCGCAAGCTTCCACCAGCGAAAGGGAAGAAGATCAACGAAGAGCGAGAAGATAGACGCACGCTTGGTTTGGTTTTGCTTAGAGGTGAAGAAGTGATCTCAATGACTGTTGAAGGACCACCTCCTCCTGAAGAATCTCGCGCTAAAGCTGGCTCTGCTGCTGCTGTTGCTGGTCCAGGAATCGGTCGTGCTGCTGGGCGTGGTGTACCAACTGGTCCGTTAGTTCAAGCTCAGCCTGGGCTATCTGGTCCGGTTCGTGGTGTTGGTGGACCAGCTCCTGGAATGATGCAGCCTCAGATCTCTCGTCCGCCTCAGATTATTCGACCTCCGGGACAGATGTTGCCACCGCCTCCAAATTTTGGTGGTCAAGGGCCTCCTATGGGGAGAGGTCCTCCTCCTCCTTACGGTATGAGGCCACCGCAACAGCAGTTTCCTGGACCACCTCCGCCTCAGTATGGGCAAAGACCAATGGGTCCTCCTGGTGGTATGATGAGAGGACCTCCTCCTCCTCCACCTCATGGGATGCAAGGACCGCCACCACCTCGCCCTGGAATGGCTCCTCCTCCTGGTGGGTTTGCTCCACCGCGTCCTGGCATGGCACCACCGCACAATCAGCAGCAGTGATTAGGTTAGCAGTGAATGAATATGACTCTTTGTCTCGGGCCTTTTTTACTGCTTTTTTGTCTGATGTTATCATGAGATTGTGAAGGCGTTATTAAGTTTTTTTGATTGGACTTCCTCAGGTTTACAATGTGGTGCTTTCATGTTGCCTTTCATAACTTTAGCCGCAATCTCTGATCTATCTTAGCTTGCAAAGTTTGTAGATTTGTTGAAGAGTGAGTGTTTTTGCCTTATCTTCTTGTGTTTCATTTCATTAAACCTGGTTATCATCACCTTATCTACGTATGAATATCTTTTTTCAATGTGAACATCTAACTCTAGGATTGCTTTACATTGTTAACCCAACTTAGAAACTAATTAGACCTCAGTCACCATTAGTGAAGAAGGGCATACTTGGTTATAGCCTCCATGGTCCTTGTTTATGTACTGTTTAGGTAGAAGTTCTGATGCTGATGCTGCGATCACAACTGTACATCTGCAATGTCAAAGCAAAGTTCATTCTTATTGTTTACTTTCTGTTACATTTGTTAAAATTTGATAAAATGAAATAATGAACTGGTGTGGTTAATTGAATGATAAGTAATATGCAGAAATGCTTGTTTGTAGTGCAACATTCTTGATCAGAAATTCAGAATAATCAAAACTAAGAGCACCATTACTAACCAAAGTGGTAAAAATATTGCAGATGAACACTTGCATAAGTGAGTGATGCAAAGTTAACTAACTTATCTGGTTGGCTTTAGGGTCTGGCTACAATCCATCTTGCATTACCTGGACAAGTGGTTTATATATGAGTGATCTAACCAAGATATGATAATAGCAAAAACTGATAAATTGAGTCACATTCATTACTTTCACAGTTCACATGTAGGAATATAAATTATATGACTTAAAGCATCGAGTTTTCCTTCAATAATGATGATTTATATACAAATGTTAATTTTAACAAAAAAAAATATATATATACAAATGTTAAACTAAAAAAAGAAGACTTTGGTCTTATTTACAAGAATTGTGCCGTTGAAGGAAAAAGGTAGAAAACAAAAAAAAGAAGTAGTAAAAGAGTTGAAAGGTCAAAAAGATAATAACGGTGGTGAGTGTGACCCATTAAACACTCCTAATGATGCTTCACGTTAACCCCACCCATTGCTAAATCTCAGCTTTTAATACTTTTATTACATTACATCAAATGAAACATACTATAAAGAAGGCTGCTGTTACAAACTTTAATCATATGTTAATATGCTATATATATTCTTTAATCATATGTTAAATATAATATAGTCGTTACTTGTTGTCATTATTGTTTATTTCTTGATCGGAGATTCGGATGTATAACGAATTAGATTTTTCAATTAATATCAGACTATTAGAATCAATTTTTAAATATAATGGTCAAAATCAAGGGAAAATTATACTTTACTAGTTTTACATTGCTTTATTTTTTTTTGTCATCAGTATTACATTGCTTTATTTAAAAGAAAATATGTGGAATTAAAAAAAAAACTTTAGTTAAGTCAAATATATATTAGAAAAAAAAAGAAGGAAAAATCCGACCCGACAAGGTCCAACAGCTAAATTTTGCAAAACTCTGTTTTTTTCTTCGAAAGACACTGTTGCGCTCGTCCTTTTCATTGCCTCTTCGTTCTGGGTAGCCCTGGGCACGAAGCGAATATTCGAAAAATTTGTGATATTTGTTATTTGCTTCGCTTTGACCGAATAGTTGATTTTGCTATTTGCTTCGATTCGTAAATTTACGAGTATTCGGAACTTCGAATATTCGAATATTTTTCGTAATATTTGCGAATTACTTGCTTCGCTTCGCTTCGACCCATCTAATTTTTTTTGAAACAAAAAACATATAGTACATAAATATAAAGTGCAAAATATGAAATATTAGAGGTTTTTATTTGACATATTTTCAAAATAAGAAGGAAATATAACCACCGTCCATAGAATTCTCACATTTTATTTTTAATAATGATTTTTCTAGTAAAAATTTATTTGCTTAAAAACACCATTTAGCAAAAAAAAAACCCAACGAACCAAAATATAATAATTTGAATAATAGGCTTATCAGATATATACCCAAATCTATAAATACACATATTATATATATTATATGTATTATATAATCATTTATATTTATACATATATATAAATATACGAAGCGAAGCGGATATTCGGTACTAAAAAATCAATATTTGTTATTTGCTTCGGTTTTTACGAATACTAGATTTTCATATTTGCTTCGGTTCAATATCTTATAGATATTTGAATTTTTCGAATCGAATCGAAACGAATATCGAAACGAACCGAATCTAACGAATATTTTGCCCAGGGCTAGTTCTGGGGACCCTCTGTACTAGAGTGTGTTAAGCTAAAACGTTCATATATGTATATTCACAGAATCCAAGAAACAAAATAAAATAAAAAAGCGTTTCAGATTCTCGTGAGTTTTGGGTTCTTCTTTCTGCTAAAATCATATCTATCTTGTGTACTATATACAGTATATATTAATAAGTATATATCTGAGCACACTCTTCTTTTCACCGTCTCCAACACGAAGAAATAAATAAAAGGCACTTCCTTTTTTTTCTTTTCTTTCTGCAGATTCCACTAACTCACCATGTTTGCTTAATGATTTCTTCTTCTTTTGCAGCTTTTTTTTATCCTTCTTTCTTTATCTTCTTATTTAAGCATTTGGTGTGTTTCGTGGGTTTTTAATCAGTGAGTGAGAAATGAGGAGAGTTTTCATGGTGAATTTTGGAGTTTTTCTTCTGTTCTGTTTTGGTTTTTTGTCGAACTCATTTGGACAAGATTATGATGATTCTGATGTAAACTCTACTACGGCTGTCTACATTGTTACTCTGAGACAAGCTCCTACTCTTCATCTTTTCCAACAAGAAGCACAAGTGAAAAGGCTCAAAGATATATCCAAACATGGAGACACTTCCAAGTTCACTAGACCAAAAGTCCAACCAAGGTAGTCTCATTTTGCTTTACAATCTTGAATTTTCAGGTTTTTGGTTAGTGGACTCAGTCACTAGATTAGAATGTGTTCACTTTTAGGTGCATGCATTGTATGATTCCCTTAACTGAAAGTTGATTTTGAACAGCAGTAGAAATTGGACTTTGTGTCTGAAGGTTCACTCTTTTGTTGTGTTGATCCCTTCTCTGGTGTTAATTTACCTTTTCTTGTTAAAATATAGGAACATCTCAAAATCACGTTATTGGAGATCAAGGAGATCAGCAATTGCTCAGGCTCATGACTCTTTGCTCAGAAATGCATTGAAGGGAGAGAAGTATATAAAGCTTTATAGCTTCCATTATCTCATCAATGGGTTTGCTGTGTTTGTAAGCTCACAACAGGTAATCTTGATCATACCATGTCTTTATTAGCTTATACTATGTTTGTTTCTTCTTTATAGAAAAGTTCTTTAGGTTTCGCTTATTTGGTTTTAAAAAGGCTGAGAAGCTGTCAAAGAGAACGGAGGTAGCAAACATAGTGTTGGATTTTTCTGTAAGGACGGCAACAACTTATACTCCTCAGTTCATGGGTCTACCAAAAGGTGCATGGGTTAAAGAAGGTGGATATGAAAGTGCTGGAGAAGGAATTGTCATCGGGTTTATCGACACTGGCATTGACCCAACTCACCCTAGTTTCAATGGCACTGACACTTCACAGCGTCAGTATCCCATTCCTAACCATTTCACAGGTGTTTGTGAAGTTACTCCGGATTTCCCATCGGGATCATGCAATAGGAAGCTTGTTGGAGCTCGTCATTTCGCTCAGTCAGCTATTACTAGAGGGATTTTCAATTCATCTGAGGATTATGCTTCACCTTATGATGGTGATGGCCATGGCACGTAAGTATAACTTGTTGGTAATGTTGAATCATTGTCATCTTCTTCACATTCTGCTACTAAAAATTGTAATCTTGATGAATGAAACAGGCACACAGCTTCCATTGCAGCTGGAAACCATGGTGTCTCAGCTGTAGTTTCTGGCCATAACTTTGGAAGTGCTAGTGGAATCGCTCCTCGTGCGCAGTAAGTAACTAGATATTTAACTAGATACCATCTTTATATCATTCATATTTCATTGAGTGTACTAATGGCATGTTTTGTTATGTACCAGTATTTCTGTTTACAAGGCATTGTATAAGAGTTTTGGGGGATTTGCTGCAGATGTTGTTGCTGCTATAGACCAAGTAAAGAATTTACATATTTGTTCAATTGAAAATTAGAATGTATCGATCTTTCCATGACACTTCTCAGTGGTATGAATTTTTATAGGCAGCACAAGATGGAGTTGACATATTAAGTCTATCCATAACTCCTAATCGACGTCCTCCTGGTGTAGCCACGTTCTTTAACCCGTTAGATATGGCTATGCTATCAGCTGTTAAGGCCGGTATATTTGTTGTGCAAGCTGCTGGAAACACAGGTCCTTCTCCTAAGAGCATGTCCTCCTTTAGCCCATGGATTTTCACAGTTGGTGCTGCTACTCATGACCGAGTTTATTCTAACTCGATAATCTTAGGCAACAATGTATCTATTCCAGGCATAGGACTTGCACGTAAGTCTTATCTCATCTCATTTCATCAGCTAGTTTATAATGTTTTAGCGCTGAATTACTGTTTTTTTCTTTTCTTCTTCTAGTTCCTACAGATGCAGGCAAGATGTACAAAATGATCTCTGCTCTTGATGCATTGAAGAACAAAAGTTCAGTTTTAGAGAAAGACATGTATTTATGTGAATGCCAAGACTATGAGAGCTTCAGTAAGGATCTTGTTCGTGGGAATCTCCTGATATGTAGCTACTCTATCCGCTTCGTGCTCGGGCTTTCCACTATTAAACAAGCTTTAGCTGTTGCCAAGAATCTAACTGCAAAGGGTGTTGTGTTCTATATGGACCCGTATGTTCTTGGTTTTCAGATCAATCCTACACCAATGGACATGCCCGGCATCATAATTCCATCCTCAGAAGATTCTAAGGTGAGATTATAACTGTAAAATATAACACTTAATTCTTGTAAAATAATTATCTGACAACGATATGTGATTCATATATAGGTTTTTCTCAAGTACTATAACTCTACTCTTGTAAGAGATGGAACAACCAAGGAGATTGTTAGATTTGGAGCAGTTGCAGCCATAGCAGGTGGACAAAATGCTAACTTCAGTAACAGAGCTCCCAAGATTATGTACTACTCAGCAAGAGGACCTGATCCAGAAGACAGCCTTTTTAACGATGCAGACATTTTGAAACCAAACCTTGTAGCTCCTGGAAACTCCATTTGGGGAGCTTGGAGTTCTGCTGCCACCGAATCCACTGAGTTTGAAGGTATAGAAATATCTCCAAAGCATGACATTGTTAAAGTTAAAATGACATAATTATTTATGCTTTTGTGTTCTTTCTGCTCTATTTAGGAGAGAGTTTTGCAATGATGTCTGGTACGAGCATGGCTGCCCCTCATGTAGCTGGTGTGGCTGCATTGATCAAGCAGAAATTCAGAAAGTTCAGTCCTTCAGCCATTGCATCTGCACTTTCAACAACCTCTGTTCTGTTTGACAATAAAGGCGAGGCAATAATGGCTCAGCGTGCTTATGCTAATCCTGATCAAACCTTGTCTCCTGCAACCCCATTTGATATGGGGAATGGCTTTGTGAATGCAACCGCCGCTTTGGATCCTGGCCTAATCTTTGATACTAGTGAGTTAAAAATGGCTCTTTTCCATATTTTCATATAACTAAAAGTACATCATTTTAACGGTCTCTCTCTCTCTATGCAGGCTATGAAGACTATATGTCATTTCTCTGTGGGATCAATGGATCATCTCCAGCGGTTTTTAACTACACTGGAAAGAATTGTATGCTTAGAAATGCAACAATCAGTGGATCTGACCTCAATTTGCCATCCATCACTCTCTCGAGGCTTAACAACACGCGAACTGTCCAAAGACTATTGACAAACATTGCTGGAAATGAGACCTATAATGTCGGTTTGGTTACTCCTTTTGATGTTTTGATGAAGGTATCTCCTACTCAGTTCTCTATAGCCAGTGGAGAGACACAGTTACTTAGTGTAATCCTCACAGCAAAGAAGAACAGCTCTCTTGCCAGTTTTGGGGGAATCAAGCTGTTTGGAAAAGCTGGACACGTTGTTTATATTCCGGTGTCTGTCACAGTGAAAATTGCCTTAAAACAATAAACTTGAGAACCTGGTATTACACAGAGCTTGGTAGATAAGATAAATTGTATTCATTTCATTTTCCATGTAAATGTCACATAGCATTTATATAATACATGGTACATTTTATTTTATACAATATGTAAAACTAGAGAAAAGATTCGATATTCATTAAACACAATAAGGTTCTTGTCTTCATTCATTAAGCGTTGCCTCCATCTCTGTTTCCTTTGTTTGGAGAAGAAGGCACCTTCTCAGATTCCTCTTCCTCAGCAGCAGCTCCAGAAGAAGAGGGTGTTGTAGGAACAGAAGGATTTGTAGGCTTAACCATTGGGAAAGGAGCATACTTGTGAAAAGGCCAGCCTTGGAATGGGAATCTATTCCTGAAAAAACCGGCTATTGCAGAGTTTGTTGCAGGCTCATCAATCTTGGTCATAGAGGATGATGAATCAACCTTGGGGGATCCAGAAAAACCGGCTTTCTCAGAGTTTGTTGCAGGCTCATTAATCTTGGTCATGGAGGAGGGGGATGAATCAACCTTGGGGGAATCAGAAACAAGCATGGCCGGGGAATGAACATGTTTTTTCCCAAGGTTCTTCCCTATTGTAGCTGATGGTGCTGCGAGTCTCGGGCTGCGAGAGCAGAGCACAGGTGGAGTAGTAACGAACATGAGAAAGATTAGGCAGAGATAAACTCTTGAGTTTGTCATTGTAGCTGAATTAGTATTCTGTTTTTGAACTTTTAAGCAAGAGAATGTTCTTCTTTTTTGTGTTGAAGTTGTTTTTGTTTGATGATGTTTGGATTCAATGGTGTTGTAATTTATAGAGTTGAAGTTGTAGTAGAGTCGGAAGGAATGTGATGGAAATTAACGTTGGATTGCTACTTCGTACCTAAATCTCAGTTTTGAGAATCATGCTTATTGTCATGAGCTTGACTTATGAAGTTGAACCAGAGAAGGTGAGATATAAGTTCATTTTAGTATAAAACATTATATTTTTGTTAACATAAAGTTGTCATTTTTGAACATAGAGTTTGGAATCTAACAAAGAACATAAATCTGAAAATGGTGTAATTTGAAGTCATTACATAAGTATGTTTTTTGTTTGATTGACTAAAGAATATTTTTTTGAAGTAAATTGAAAAAAAAAGAAATTAGTTTTAATTTAATTATACATCTGGAAAATAAAGTCCAACAGTTTCGGTAATACAAGTTTTAACTAAAAAAAGAGATCTTTTGCAAAATCCTTGGATCAAGAGAGTGAAGCGATTCTGAATTCGCAGATCGTTCTCCGATTTCGCTAAATCGCCGGGACCTTTACTGATATTTGAGCTCAGTCATGTCTTCGGATCCTGACAAAATGATGTCCAAGGCCGACAAAATGTATGCTTTTCTTCCTCTACTCTTCCCATTTTTGCGATTGTCTCTCTGTACGAGGTTAATGATCGGTGGAAGTAAGATTCAAATTGGATTTTAGGGCGTTTTTGGGTTGATCGAAATGATTGTGCTCTTAAGATATGAGGGCTTTCTTTTGTAACTGTGATCGAGAAACTTCTCGTGATCCATTTTTGCGTCTCGATCAAGGTTTTTTCTATTGGGGAAAGAGAAGAATCCAGGATCTCGTGTATTTTTTGGATAGTAGTAGTGTAATTTGAATTTGCTTTAAGTTCACGAACACTTGTTTTTATTAGAATCAATGAGTTCGTCCTGGTTTTTAAGTCAAAATTAGGTCTTTGAGAGTTTCGAGCTACTCTGCAAATTCCTCTGAACTCTGAATTAGTTCTCTTTTTGGTATATCCTGGAATTTGAAATGCAATTGTATTGGTTTTATGAGTTGGTAATTAGTATGCAATGTAATATTGTTCCCATTTTGACAATAATCGAGAAATCATTTTGGATTGGGTGCTTTTGAATTGGTGTTGTTTTGCCCTCACATTCCTACATTTTAGTGATCACTTTCTGTTATTAACTATGCTTTTAAGCATCTTTGGTTCTCTTCATTGGTTTTCACAGGACAAAACTCACGCTTACTAGATGGAGTGCTGATTGGAGAGGTGCTACTGAGTTGTATGAACAAGCAGGTGGGTAGCATTGTGTAGTTTCCTTTATGGTAGAATCTAAGTTTTAGATTTCTTTTTGTTCTAAAAGCTTGGAGATTATTATTATAAGCATGACAGATTCCTGCAGTGCTGGAATGAAACCTGATTTTGATATTTTCTGCTAACTCCTTTTCATCCATAAACAACAGCAAATGGGTTTAGGGCATCAAACAAATATGAGAAAGCTAAAGTGGCTCTCGAGAAAGCTTCAAAAGGACAAGAGATGCAAGCTTCGTATCCAAAGTTTTTGTTAAGAGTATAATCTGCTGCTCTTTATTTTTGTTAATATATCCACAAACCATTCTAGTTACTGTTATCCTTGATATCAAATAGTCCCTGGGATGCTGCAAAGCATATGGAGTCTGCTGCTGCCCTAGCACAGAAGCTAAGTATTTGGAATGAAGTTGCTGATTTTTATAGAAAGGCGTCTGAGCTGTATATTGAGTGTGGAAGGGCACAACCCGCATCAGATGCGCTTGGGAAGGCTGCCCGGTAATTCTATGTTGACATTTTTAAATCAAGAAATTGGCTCTGATGTCCTCCTCTATAAGTGAGTGTGGCTTCTTAAGCTTGCTCCGTTCTTGTTTGTTTTATCTTCACTAATTTATGTTTCAGTGCTTTGGAAGATGTCAAACCAGATGACGCCATCCAACTATACACTGATGCTTGTGAAATTCTTGAAGAGGATGGAAGGGACCAAATGGCCTTTGATCTATACCGTGCTTGTGCTAATGTCTACATAAAGCTCGAGAAGTAAGTTCTTGTTTTCTTAGCAATCATACGAGGTTAAAGTTTCATTGTATATGAATCTATTATCAGTTAATAGTGGTATCATGGAAAATATTAATCCCTCTATCTGATATAGTAATTGATTGGCACACGTATTAATTTGTAGGTTCACAGATGCTGCAACATTTTTCTTAAGATTGGGTGTAGCTGCTGATAAGTGTGATGCCACAAATAGCCAGTGTAAGGTATGATTATATGCGCTCCTCAACTTATAATACCATTTGGTTTCATCTATGTCTAACCTTGATGCTTTCTGCCTAGCTCAGACCAATTCTCTTGTATCTCTGAATGTTGGTGTTGCGAGTTAACTGCTTACTCCTTAATACCATTTATTTCAGGCCTATCTTAGTGCAATCATCGTGTATCTGTATGCTCATGACCTGAAGCAGGCAGAGAAATGCTACAATGACTGTTCTCAGTGAGTATACTCATCTCTCTTTTTGCAGCCACACAGTAGGACAATGACAAACGATATCTTGACCGCATATGTTACTACAAACAAGAAAACATAAACGATTTAGGAAATGTGATACAAATTGGTGTCTGAATATTTTCTTCTTTTGGGTAGGATTGATGCTTTTATGAAGAGTGATCAGAGCCGAAGTGCTAGTAGACTTCTCACAGCCTATAATGAAGGTGACATTGAAGAAATCAAGAAGGTGGCGAGCTCAAGCACTGTCTCAAATTTGGATCATTCGGTAATTCACTTAAATGATAATACTAATCCTGTCTCATTGTGTTTCTGAATTAGTGTTAGTTATTGTGACACCAGATGATTACCGAAAGTTTCAGTAAACTACTGCAATCTAATACGGAGAAGTATTTTGTCTGCAGATCATCAAGTTGGCTAGAAAGCTACCCACTGGAGATGTTACTGCAATTCAGATGAACACTAATGACGATCTGGACGAGGATGATCTCACTTAAAGTTTCTCCTCTTTGTACAGATTCAGATTTCTTCTACGCTTTATTTCTTTTCAAGCAAACAATTAAAAAAAAGACATATTATCGTTTTAGTCCTTAGTACTGTGTGAATGATTAGGCTTTGAATTCGAATTTGTGCATGTTTCCTTTCACTGAGAAACAAGCAACACTCTGAAGTCTGTTATTTTAATTTCTTAACACAGCTCGTACAGGTTTGTTAAAAAAATAATATACAGTTCAAGTTTTAATCTGCTTTTGTTTGAAAGAGTCGTAAAAGCCTTTTCATTTTCTTCAATTGAAGCTGGTAGAAAAATAAGCAAACGTAATAGAGAACGATGGTACATTGCAGATCCAATAATACAATACAATACAATCATTAATCCTAAACCCTTTTTTAAGTAAAAAGGAAAGACATGTCAACGAAGTGACACTTTTGTCTACTTTTATATTGCCTCTCTAGATTAACTGAAGCCTGAACATACAAACACAATCAACTTCAAAGGATGTTAGTGTGCTATTTGCATGCTCGTCATTAAGGACTTTTCTCCATCTTATCTACCAAAGTAGAGAGCTCTTCCTTGAGCTCCGTGTTGCGTGTCTCACCGCACAGAAGCCCATGCATCATAACTAATTCTTCAGGTGTTGCCTTCTTCAACAGTCCACGCAAAAGCCTTGTGTCCCGGTCCAAAGAGGGATCTGAAGCTGCTCCTTTCTCTGTATCATCTTTTTCTTCTTCCTTCGCTGGTTCAGCACCAAACAGTTTCACTGCCTTTTGGTTCCAGTACTCCTCCAATTGATGCTTTGGATCAAGAGCCTCAACCACCTATCCACAATGTCAACTTTCAGTCCAGAACGTTTGCAGAGAAAATGAAAGAAAATATGCATATTACATAAAAACAAGCAAGATGCTCAAGAGGACTAAAACAGAAGATGAGCTTCTCATCTAACCACATGAAAAGGAAAGATTCAGAACAACATAGTTTAATGGCTATGTATGATAAATTAAATGTTACCTTAATTATGTGTTCGGAGTTAAACCCAAACATTGCATGCCCATTTATATAGTCCAAAGATTGTAAAGAGGTCAAAGAGCTCACTGGTTGATCACATCTTTTGATAATTTCGAGTTTGAGTCTTTGTGTCACCATTTGCCAGCACTTCTCAGCAGATACATTCGAGAAATTCTCAGTGGGGTAATCTTCTACTGAGACCTGGAAACAATACTGAGGGATCAGTAACTTAACACCTTTGTTATGAATAATAAACAAATTTCGGTTCTATTCTCGAAGCCACTACATAATTAGTGTACCCTGAACAGTGGACCAAGAAGCCCTGCATCCAGAACCTCTGAGATGTAGTTGGTAAGTTTTGTTGGGTCAAGCACGCTTAAGAACTTAATACGGCTCTTGAACCCTGTAACATTATCAAAAGCAAGAGACTTAGAAGGCATAAACGATGCTAAAGTACAAAGCTCATACAAAATCCTCAATTCAATCTCACCTTTTGGGTATATGGCTTGTTTATTGCACCACAGCTTTTTAACAACGAGAGATCCAGAGTTCAAGAGCTCAACAGAGTGACTTAGCCTATTGGTTGCAGCGTCATGATCTTTCCCTTCTGAACAATCATCTACTTTCTTCGCCAGCTCACTACACCCTACATCTGTAACTGAATGTGGGTTTTGAGATTCCACCGAAATCTTCTCATCGTCACAATTACCTCCCTCACAAAGGTTTACATCTCGATCACCATCTTGTTTCAACTGAACTTCCTTGTTTGTGGTTAGATCACTTTGTAAATGCTCGGACACTAACTGAAGGTTGTTTTGTTCTCGCTGTTGTACTTTTGATGAACCACGGTTCTTTGAACATGAGGCAGCCTTGAGGTAAGAATATTCTCTTACTCTCGGATGATGTGAAGGATACTGGTCACGACATTTACTTGCCCATTCGTCTATGGCATCTGGATCCCCTTCTAGAGCTCTGACCAATGACCGTAACTCATCCAAGGTGTGGCGAATTAGGACAAATCTCTCCTTACTTTCACATGAACACAGATCCTTGGCGTGGGTAAGACATGCAAATCGGTTGGGCGAACACTTGCAGCTTGAAGCAGACATATGCAAGTCATAGAAGCACAAGAAGCACTCCCGTTCTCTCTTAATGTCAAAATCACCCTCCATCTTTAGCACGCTAAAACCATCTTGAATGTGGTTTAGTCTTTCTTCTTCCATCTGCACCCGCTTCTGCAAACTCCAGCTATGTTAGTCCCACTGATGATATTTGATTCAATCAGGTGTACAATCAGGTGTACTAGTACACAATTACTTCAGAAGATAATTGTCAATCTATGAAATGCAACATATGTCTGCATTTTTGAGTATATATTTGTACATACATGCATATGTAAGCACACAAAAAAGAACAGATAATCAGAATCACCTTGACTGCCTTCGTAAGCAATCCATCCTCACTACAAACCCTTTTCCATCTCGCAATCACAGGAGTTTTCTTCTTTGAAAGTGAAAGCTCCCAGAGGGAATAAACAGCTTCTTGAGCTGCTCCAAGAAGCAGCTTGTCATGTGACAATGAACTCTTTCGCCGCTGCTTGCTATAGCCTTCCACTGCATTTTGTCCATGAATCAGCCAATCAACTGGTGCAACATTTACTGCTTCCGCACAGTTAAAACCACAATTAAACCCAGAATGATAGGCCTTAGGGAAGGTTAGGATGAATTCTCCACTGCGCTGGACAGCTCGGTAGACAGGTACTCCCTCCTCTTTTAAGATTCTTGGAGATAACTGAGTGACCTGATAAACAAAAAACAACGAAACAAGAGGTGCAGAATGAGATACGTATTATCTTAACCAAAAGCCAGCTCTGCCATATCATCCCAAAAATTACACTTGTGAAGAGTTTAATTAATCAGCAAAGCTTGAATTAAAAAAGAATTGGGGGAAAATTCTCACCAGTTGATGTAGTAAGTCAGGCTGTTCTTCAAACAAATCTGGAAGATGTTTTTTCATTGCGTTTTCAAAGGAAGCGTAATGGTTTCCGGGGATTCCATACCAAACTTTTGGATCACCCGTGTGTAAGTAGTTCAAGGAATAGAGGTGATGATCTTCAACATGCTGTTTCAAACAAAGTAAGTGGGCAAATTGCAGATGGTTAGTACATAGCTCCCATAATTTTAGTCCCAAATGCGTTACCTCCTGTACGTAATATGATTTTGATTTACCAATAAAACAGGTCTTTATACAACTCTTTCATTAGCTTTGTTTTTCCAAATAACAAAAATTTCCAGGAAATATCCAAAGATTTTATATACTACTCAATAAATTACCAAGAGTCTTACCCAACAAAAAGTTGAAAAGCACATTCCAACGTAAAGCCATGGTACAATGACTCCTGAGATATCACAGCTCTCAAACGCTAGAACAGATCCGGGAAGACGGGATAGATTATTTAGGTTCCAACCAGATTTAGAGTATTGGTCTGCTTCACTTTTAGGATGCCCCGGTGAATGCTTAGGGAAACCACTTCCAAATTTCTTTGTTTCCAAGTCAGCTCCATAGTACACCTGTCATAGGCCCAGAAACAACAGTAACGAGTTAGAAGAATTTATGCAAAAGAAAATGGTGAAACCAAGAAAGACAGAAATAAATAGTACACATGTTATCATACAGCTGCCAGTACATACCTCTACTTCATCAGTTGCTTGCTCCACTATTCGCCAATACTCACCTTCGATGTCTTTAACCTTAGGTTTAAATTTTTTAATTTCAGACGCTCTGGAACTAGACTGATCATGTGTCTCAAAATAACAGTCCTTAAAGTATTCATCATACTTCTGAAATTCTTCCAGGGTAAAATCTGGCCCAGTCTGAAAACCAAATTTGCCTTCGTTCTCACTAGAGGAAGAAGTATCACAGCCTGAATCTCTTCTTCTTCTTGTGTATCCAGTTTTGACTCTTCTCCGTTTCCTCTTCTTGCTTTTGGTAGATTTTTTAATCGGTTCTCTATTCTGAAGCAAGTCAATCAGCTGAATTCGGGTGGGAAATTTAGATTTCTCCCATATTTTCTTATCCTTCAGTGGGCAGGGAGGCCTCCATGCAACAGGCGGCACAATGCGACATATGCCATATGATTCAGCTTTAGAGCGCAACTTTTCTATGTAACTAAGTGGATCATCAAAATCCTAAGCATGAAGCATCAAAAAGGATTAACAACGTTTCAAACAGGTAACACTTAAACTACAAAGACAGAACCAAAACTGCAGCTAATAGTTAGAAAATACCTCATTAGTGGGATAAAATATGGGAGCGTCATCAACCATAGGCCTGCAACCTCCAAATGGATTCCACCTAGCAGTTATCTCAAATACGCAACAAACCAATATCATTCAGAAATTAGATTTTCTTGGACAAATCAGATAGGTAACAAAACAAGTACATGATTCTGAATGCAATGAAGTCTAGTTTGATCAAAAACTTGGTTCTCTTCCTTCAAAAATCACATATTTGCTAGAATTTATGAACTAGAAACCCCAATTAACTAGAAACAGGTACACAAGTCATATTTGCTTACTTTGGGACTAGGAGGAGGACTTGAGTCAGGTTCAGGGCTACTCTCCCTTTTAACCGATTGATTCTCTGAATCTTCCTGTAACAAAAAGAAATAAACACAATTCCACATTCAGAAACTGCAACAGTGCTACAAAGTGAGGGAATTGAATCATGCAAACTAGAGGTTTACAAAGTGAAGAGATGAAGGGAAAAACCAAAACACAAGCAAAATCAAAGGGATAAGAAGAAGAGAACCTCCATAGCCACAGACTCTGCTAGAGATGCAAGCTGATCCATTTCAGAGAGAGATTAGGTTTCACGAAACCCGATACTTGTAAACCCGCGTGAGTGAGTGACCTAAGAAGATCTGTAACTCTTACTTGAAATGCAGTGTGCCCGTTTCAAAACCCTAAAAAAAAAACCCAGAAAGCATAAAAGAGATGGTCTGAAGTAGAAGAAGAACCTGTAATAATAACTCAGTTGAGAACTACTTATAAATAAAATAAAAATATACTCTACGAGCCAAAGAATAGATATAACTTCACGAAGGGGCATTCATTCATTCACTCTCACGAGATTTGGAGATTTGCAACATTTCATGAAAATCCTTTCGTTAAGTTATCTTTGACAAACATTATTAAAAAATATTTTGACCAAACAAAAAAAAAAATCTTAGGTTAAATATCTCAATTGGGTTTTTTTTCTTTTTTCAATTCCTTTTACAAAAATGATGATAGGCAGATGTCACAAAAAAAAAAGAGTACAAAACGAAATTAATTACGAAGAACAAACATTTACTGGTGGAAACATTATTGTATTTGTGTATCACATTTTATCGTTTTATTATCTTCAATGTATATTGTTTACGTAATAGTTTAAAATATATATTTCTTTCTGTTTTTTTGTCAAAGAAATATATAATTTTTATGATTTTGTATTATCAATTTAAAATTATAATAAAATTTATCTAAGATTCCGATTTTTGTTTTTAAATAGTAACATATTAACTTAGAGAAAACTTTGTAACGAAATATTTAAAAGATTTGGTTAACTATATGTTTTTATTTTTTTCAATATACCAAGAGTTATATGTCTTTCTCATTGTTCAATATGCATTACTTTGTTAAAAAATGTAAAATTCATAAATAAAAAGATTAGAGAGATGAAAACTCATATAAATATGAAAGTGATAGAACAGAGGAGTGCGCATTAGATAATGTGTGACTTGAGAGACAAAACATAAAGTAAAGACACAACAGCAACATCTATAACACAAACACACACACGCGCGTGTACATATCGCTGAATTTGGTCTGCGATGGTTTAGGGGACGTCGGTGGCGGTGGCAGAGGGGGCCGTGGAGGAGAATTTGTTAGAATTGAATAAGAGACGGGAAATGGAGACGGCGGAGACTAGCAGCATAAGAATCACTCCGGCGAAGGCAGCTATGATTGCTCCAGCGCCGTGATCACAGTAAGTGGCAAACCTGTCGCAGACTTTGTTCCACTTGGCGTGTTTGTTTCCGTTCTTCCCCACCTCCGCTACGAACACTGCCGCGTTTGCAGCCGCAGATACTAGAGTTGCGTTTAGCTTTTCCAAAACGTTTTTAACGATATAACCAAGTCAACACGTACGTATATACTGAAGTATTTAAAACAGAACAGAGCTAATTTCATTTCAAATACATAATTTGGAAATAAGTATGTATGTATATGGTTATTTTTACCATGTCGAGAATGGCGATGGAGAGGAGATGGAGACCTTTTTGCTCCAGTTTCGGGATGAAAATCTGAAGAGCAATCATCAACAAGTTGTGGAAGCTCACCATTACATTAGCTATAACAAAGAACCTGTAATACCATTTTTCACCAAGAATCAGTGCTAATAACTTCAAAACATTTTGCTTTCAATTTGAGTTCTTATTTGGGTTTTTATTGGCTTACACGAAAGCCGGTGTGTGCTGAAACTTAGCGGTTATAGTGGCTTTAATAGGAAGAGTACCAATGGTGGCCACAACCAAGGTCTTTGTCTCTTTGTTCAGTGACATTACAATGGCTGCAGCTAAAGTAGCCATGAATGCAAATATTCTCAGCCCCAGGAGTACTTTCCAGCTCTTTGTGGTCCCACCAGCCACAACAATCTTCCCTCCAGCCATCGTTGATGCAGTGAGTGATTAAGAGAAAGTGATGAATCTCTGTTGTCAGTGTGAAAGAGTAAATTATATAGAAAGAGCTTGTGTTGGGCCTTGTTGTGAGGTTTTGTCTGATCGTCTAATTTTTATGTTCGTGGAGGGTACTAATTAGGTTTAGGTTGTTGAGACAAGATTACTGCAAAATTGATTTCCAGATTTCAAGACTTGCTCTAAGACAAGTCCTATCTACCAAAGCTAAGATCAGTTTTCACTACCACTTATTGTTCCATGTACCAAATCTTATTCGCAGAAGAAACAGAATTCAAACCCCAACCTTAATGTTTGGTGAGTGTGTCAGATTATATTAATACATACATTAATAATGCCTCAAGGGCCAATGGAGTTTTTACAAGTCTACGAACAGAAGAGAAGGTCAAGTTCCATGGAGCAAAAACCATTTTGTGTCTTCAACTATGAATAAACCCCAAAAATGCAGTAACAAAAGATTCTGAATAAGCCTTTCTCTTGGGTTAAAAAGGAGTCGGGAGAAATATAAACATACAGTTTTTCCGCGTATGTAATATGCACAAACCAGACGCAGGAATAGCAGAAGATTTTGGATATGATCTTTCAGATCTCACTCATCCTTTGTTACTTTTTATCGGTCGTCACTCCAACAACAACATTGCTCACCTACAATTGCAGTCAAATGTCAAATCTTTTTGTAATGTGTAAATAACAACAAGGCAGAAAGCTATATGTGAAGTCGTGTGAACACAGGTGATAGAAATACTCACCAACTTTCCACTTTCATCAACGGACATGGGGTTTTCTACAACAACAGTTTGGGTCTGAGAGGGTGGTGTTGACTGTTGGAAAATGAAAAAAATTGATGAACAGAGTAAGTTTTCGTTCAATAAGAATATACAGAACTATTGCAAATTCATAATCTGATAACTCACAGTTGATGTAGAGGGCATTGTTCCGTTGGGCCGGTTAGTTGGAATAGGTACCCTTCCATTACTCATCTAAGGATGAAAAATGAATCAGAAATTTAATTTCAAGCAGAAAGATTGTTGTACTTAACTCCACCATGCAGAAGTGACTTAATAGATAGGATTACTCACATTAACGTTAGTCACGAATTGACAAACAGCGCATTTAACAGACGATGCACCATAAGGATACATGAGGGTCGTCCTACAATGCCCACAATTGATTTGTGCAACCTGATTGGAGGGTGCATGCGGAACCTGATTGGAGAGTCCTGTCAATTTCAAAAAAGTCAAGCACAGTTTCAGCACACAAGCGAAATTAAATAGAAAATCCAATTAGCAAGAAAATTCTGATGAACAAAAGGAAATCAGTAATGCCTGTTCTTAGGCTGCTATGGATGAAAGAAAAGCAGACATCCTATTAGGGCTATTTTAAAGGTAAGAATCCAACAGTAGATCAAAAGAAAGTAATGTTACAATTAAGTGGACCTTTCCACCTCTAACAATTAGTGCCACATGGACAATTTCATACAGTTGTTTTCAGTATATTCAGCTGCTCTACAAACCCCAACTATTTTAAATTTTTGGAAAAAGTAAAACATATGTTATGTGAGCATCTCTACAAGACAATGCAGATCAAACAAAGGCTTGAAAGAAGATTCTTAAGAACTAAAAGACCTTTTAAGCAATTCAGGGAGCTTTAATGTTATATACCTGGCACAAGGTTCGTAGTCTGACAGCAAGAGCATCTTACGCTACTTGCCCCACGAGTATACATAAGCATAGTCCGGCAACCACCACATACAATGTGAGCCATGTCCATCCCTGCATGAGCTGTGTTCAGACCCAACAAGTTATAATCCAGTTGCAAAGCACAGGTCTTTTAACCTCCTCCTCAATTATAATAGAAAGACTCAATCATCTACAAAAATCCGCACAAATTACAAAGAGAAGAATTCGATACCATGTGGAGGAGGAGGAACCATGTTGATAGTGTTACATAAAGCACAACGCACATTCGATGCTCCTCTAGGATACATCAGTAAATTTCTACAACCATGACAAACGAGCTGGTCCTGCATATCTGCTATTTCCATTCCACCCATGAAATCAAAACACAGATTTAGCTTCAAAACAAGACCCACACAGTTTTTTTTAATTAAAAAAAAAGACCCCTAAACATTTCTCAATACTCAAAACTCAATCAATACTTATGAATGAATGCCTCATTGATTGCAACGAAGCAATTAAAGATCTAAGAGCATTAAAAAAAAAAAACTCACCTGATTTCTCCCAACGGATAAACACAAGAAAGGAGCTGACTTTGAATACCGAAACCCAAATCCAATCCAAAGCAAAAAACTTCTGCAGCCAAATCAAAACTAAGAATTGAGATTCCAATCAAACAAAAAAAACTAAAATCAATATTAAGATTACAAAAATTGAAGAAAAAAGGAACAAACTTTGGTGGTCGATCTTACCGATTGAAAATGGGAAAGGAATCAAACCCAGAAAATCTCAAGCGATGATGATATGCGAAACGCCAACCCGAATTGGCGAAATCGACGATAGATTTCGAGATATTATCTTCTCCCCCAAAATCTCTCACCCTGATTTATCTCTCTCTCTGTTTTCGTTTTTTTTTTTTTTTTTACTAGACGCGTTAGGACACGTAAGCCTTTTTTTGCCAGTCAAAAGCGCGTTTATAAGTCAGTCGTTCTAAACCACGATTCAAACGCCGCGATTTGCTTCTGCTTATTAAAATGTGCACTTTTACGCCAAAAGCTTACGCCGAGTCGCCGATCAATCAAAGTAATTAATTAATTAATTATTAAATATAGTATTCTTTTATCGTATCATTCATTTCTTCAGTTTAAGGTTTCAAAACATTTGTTGTGGACTAAGTATAAGTGTACAACAATTTTAGAATAAAAAATAAAATAAATATAATACATAATAGATTATTGTCTGTTCTAAAAATAAAATAATTTATTTGGTTAATAACGAGTTAGTCCACATCTATATAAAACTTAATATATAATATTATATGAACGTTTACAAGATTTAAATAATTAATAATTAGTTTATTTCTACTTGTAATTAGCCTAGCTCGGAAAAATTAATGGTGCAGATAATAGTGCGGATAGGAAAACATTTTGGTAGAATGATTTTTAAAGATTTTTAGAGTTCAAGATTCCATTGTTATTGGTTTATGGATTCTTAGATTCCTAATAAAATCTCTTGTTATTGGTGTATGTATTTTGTAATTCTATTTAAAATCATTTGTTATTGGTGTATGTATTTTGTAATTATGTATTTTGAGAATATTAAAATCTCTAAACTTTAGAAATGCATAAACTCTTTTAAAATCATCCTCCCAATAACCCCCTAAGTATCTACTCTAAAAGTTATTTTAACCAAGTAGGCTACTTGTCTCTGTATCTACTCTTAAAGTATCTACTCTAAAAGTTATTTTAACCAAGTAGGCTACTTGTCTCTGTAATATCTAATTCAAACTTAATAATATTTCCATAATATTATTAATGAATTTTTATAAAAGTTGAATAATTGATCATTACTAGTAACTAGTGAGCCTAGCTTGGGCAAGCTAAAATCGAATAAGTGGAATAATATGATTTATGTTTCGATTGGTGGGTTTGGAATAGGAATACATCATCAACAGAAAAAGGAAAGAAGAAATTATGAATTGGAGAAATAAGTGATGTACGTACGTCGAACCAGTTTTAGATTCTGACTACACACACGAAAAGACCGTCGTAATGATGTCATTGGAGCATACAAAGTTAACCCTTGCCATTCACAAACCTCTATATAAATTAATAGGAAGCAAGGTGTTGATACGGCAAGAAGCAGTTAATCATTTGTTGAGAGTACTTGAGATTCAAGATAGATATATAAAAAGATGGCTATGAGTCGTAGAGATCCTCTTGTGGTGGGAAGCGTTGTTGGAGATGTTCTTGATCCTTTCACCAGATTGGTCTCTCTTAGGGTCACTTATGGCCAAAGAGATGTTACTAATGGCTTGGATCTTAGGTCTTCTCAAGTTTTGAACAAACCTATGGTGGAGGTTGGAGGAGAAGACCTCAGAAAATTCTACACTTTGGTTCTTGATCTCTTTCCTATGTTTCTTCGTTCCTCCTTTGCTCACTCTTTTGTTTTTAGCCACTTTATTTTCTTTTTTCTCTATGCATGGAAACCATTAAATATTTTAACCAAACCCCAACTTAAGTGTAGATAGTTTTGGTAGTTCATTTCATACCCAAGCTAAGTGATGTCCAAATCTTAAGTGATTATTTTAACGAGTAACGACTTTTGAATCTTGATATGATTTTTCGATCGTCTTTATTTTCCATTATATTATAGTGTTTACCTAGTTATGTCTCTATGTTATCGAGTTCAAGAAAAAAGAAAGCAAGCTCGTGATTACTTAATTGCTTTGATTTTGTATTTTCGATCGTCTTCTCTTATACGGTTGTTTGACGTGTTTAATGAAGGTTATGGTGGATCCAGATGTGCCGAGTCCAAGCAACCCTCACCTCCGAGAATATCTCCATTGGTTTGTTTATTGCTGTATAATCTATCTCTCTTCATGTCTTATAACTTAACAATAGAGATAGCAAATATATAAGAAACAACTTCAGATAGAATAATACTATAATTTATCATCTACCTATACTACTCACAATAAATACTATTAACATGTCAAAATTTTAGAGATCCTATACATTTTTGTTAAGTACCACACATAAAACATTATATTTTACATCTTTTACTAATAATAGAAGGGGACATATAGAATAACTTTAAGAGAGCAGCTACTTGTCACTTTACACGTCTGACCTATGATGTCAATAGAAAAAAAAAAGCTACAGAAATATTCTATACAACAAATACAAAACACATGTGGTGAGCGTTAAGTTTCTGTTTTAAAGTGTCATGTTATGTCATAGCTACCACGCAACAAAACGTCTACTCTTAGTTAGTCTTATGCTTTACATTTAACTTTCACAAACTTTTATGCATCATATATATAACCAACTTAAAATGGTACTCTCCTTGCAGGTTGGTGACTGATATACCTGCCACAACTGGAACAGCCTTTGGTAAGTCTAGTTAACTCAATAAATACTTTAGGAACATGCATGTGATAAAGTTATATATAACTTGTACATGCAGTGTTCACATAGATCACACATAAACAAAATATGTAAGTATTTGGAAAACATAATTTTCAGAAAGATATATACTGTGTGTATATATGTTCCGTGACTTGCGTCGGTTCATCGGTCTCAAACCTAGAGCGGTCTAGGCTGCTCTATGCATGTCAGTGCATTGCAACCAATAAAATTTTAATCTAATATATATGTACGTGTTTCTGATTGTATAATATTCAGGTAATGAGCTTGTGTGTTACGAGTGTCCACGTCCCCCATCGGGAATCCACCGTATGGTGTTGATATTGTTCCGGCAACTCGGAAGACAAACAGTCTATGCACCAGGGTGGCGTCAACAGTTCACCACTCGTGAGTTTGCTGAGATATACAATCTTGGTCTCCCTGTGGCTGCCACTTACTTCAACTGCCAAAGGGAGAACGGCTGTGGAGGAAGAAGAACGTAGATGCCTTGCTTAATTTTAACTAATCCATTCGGGTATTTAAGCATCTGAAGCTACGTAATAAGAATTTAGAGATGCGACCAAAAATAAAGTGGTGCATATATATATATGCTGACATCTACTTAAAGTAGTTTCTACTATCTTTTTTTTAGAAAGTAATAATTGAGAGGGAAGAAAGAAATGTGTGTACGAGAAAAAGCCCCTTTTTAGTTGTAAGATATGTGTGTGTAAAATTTATGTTCTCAAACAAAAAAAAAAAATTGAAGTATTCTATGAATATGATTCATCTAAAAAGGTCATTTTGTCTCATATATTTTGAGTTTTCGAGAAACCTGGTAGCTAACAGCAAAAATATAGTTTATGTTTATGAACTAATCTAATCCAAACAAACATAAGCAAATTTTTTAAAATAAAATAATTAAGAGCTCCAATATATATATGTGTGGATATAATTTTATTATAATTTTTACAATATGGCAAAGTCAAAAATACACATAAAAATCATTCATCTCAATGAATGGAGAAATTTTTCTTAAAAACAAATCAAGAAGTAAGATGAGATAGAAAAAGTAATTAAAAAATATTAGTTCAAATTCGAAGTATGTGCATTATAATAAGGTTGAACTATGATTTCAGAGGGATATTATAAGTTTCTAAAAATTAATTCCAAGAGATATAGGTTTCTAACTTTTTTTTAAGGAAAAAAAACAAAAAGTAATGTAAATATTTAGTTTGAACTCTATCTATATTATATTATTTGTGGAAATAGATCATTTTCCGAATTTTTAAGAAACATACATACATTAGATTAAGATTAGTGTATAAACGGCTAAGACCATCTCCATTGAGAAATGCTTAACAAGAGTTGTTTATTTTAGAGAGAGAAAATGTATTAATAAAAAATGGTGTGAGTTGCTTAAATAGCTAAAAAAATACATTCAAAATTGCTTAAACAATAGATTTAAAAGACTTTTGAAACAATTTTTCACTAAATAAGCAACCCATCAAATGAAATAATAATATTTGTATAATTTCAATAATAAACATCTTATGTTAAGCAACCATTGTTGGAGATGCTATAAGTACTACAGTGCCGTGGCGTTGATGACTAAAGGTGGCACCTTTTCTCCACTCTTCGCTTTCTCTCTCAATAGATGAACTTCATTTGATCATTTCCTTCTAGAATGTAATTAAGGGTTTAGTCACCATAGGCTCAAAGTTTAGGGATTTCGTCCTTTACTCAACTTCAGAGAAGACAAAATTAGCCATGAACATTTTCAAGAAGAAGACCACTCCCAAAGGTAAAAAGGTTTGACTTTTTGGATTTTCCTATCTTGATGGTAATTTTGATTTGCTAGCCATAGACTTGAGTAATTGGAACTAGGGTTCTAGAAGAATTCTGCAAAAATGTGACCTTTAAATCTGTTTGTGCTTCAAACCTGACTGTTGTCGAGTGAGGAATCTGCTGAGTTTTTATTTCCATCATAGAGTTCTACAATTGATTCTGCAAAGTCGTCACCTTTAAATTCCCCTGTATCTAAATCTGACAGTGTAGTGTGAATAATCTTCTCCGATTCTATTGTTCAGTTTCATCATTTTTATGTGGGTTTTTCTCTCAAGTTATTACATTGAGGTGTTGTTTCTGCTTACTTGCTTCATTTCTTATGCAGATGCTCTCCGCACCAGCAAGAAAGAAATGGCTGTGGCTACTCGAGGTATGTGTTTATTGTCTGTTGAAAAGCTACTTCTATAAGCACATTGTATCTTAAAGGTAAAAAAAAGGTGTATCAAATGGAAGTCTAGAGCTGTATGCATCCTACCATCATTTCATTGAGGTTGGGAAAAGCTGTTTAGAGCTGCTTCAGTATTTCATAGCTGTTTTCGATGTTTTCGCTTGTTCTCTGGAATCTTAGTGGATCTGTTAGATGGGATTTAGAAAAGAGGCAATAATCACTTCTTACTGGTCTGTTTGTCCTGTGGTTTGTTTCATTGAACTGCTTTATAAATTTGTACACTCTTTCTTAAAATATATACTCATCTAACTGGGTAAATGCAAGCAGTAAGCTATATTTATTTGTATTGTTATATGGTTTTTCTCCCAAATGTGTAATTGCAGGTATCGAACGTGATATTACATCTCTTCAGTTGGAGGTAGATGGCATCTACCAACTTTTCTTCTACTTTGAGTTTATCTGCTAAGGCGTGTTGCTTTTAGATTAGTTTGTTCTGACGGTTTTACTGGACATGACAATTAGGAGAAAAGGCTTGTGGCAGAAATCAAGAAAACAGCTAAAACTGGAAACGAGGTAAAGCCTTTCTTGTGAAATAAAATAGTTTCTTTATCGTTTAGTGAGAAACTTTGACTTCTTTGGCAAACTTTTATGGGGCGGGAATCAGCGTGCAGGTGATGAAATCACAATTCCTCAGTTTCTTTTGTAGTGTTTACTAGCTTGTTGATTCTTTCTGGCTATATAAACTCCTCAAGAGTCAAAACTCTTCTTTTCGACATTAATAAGCTTGTTTTGGTTAAAACATTGTCACAGGCAGCCACCAAGATCTTAGCTCGACAACTCATTCGATTGAGGCAACAGATCACCAAGTTGCAGGGAAGCGTGCTCAAATCCGGGGTGTAACCACTCATACACAGGTTAGGTTGCTTAAATCTCTCCACCCATTCACTGCGACATGCTTTAATACAATAATTAACTTATTGGATGTTTCCTTGATGGGTTGATAATTATTAAATATAGGCTTTGTATGCAAGCACCTCTATTTCATCTGGTATGAAAGGTGCAACCACAGCTATGGTTGCAATGAACAAGGTAATATTCCCATTTTTGTTTCATTTTGCTACTTTGATGGGGTTTTTTCACTTCTCAGGTAACATGTTTTACTCTGTTGTTTCTCATACTTTAAGCAAATGGCACCAACGAAACAAGCTAAAGTTATCAAGGAATTCCAGAAGCAGTCTGCACAACTGGACATGACGGTAAACAGCATCACAGTTCATCTTTCTAAGAGCATGCTTTTATGGCCGGTTTTATCGCAAAAATTGGCCGAGTAATTTTTGTTTTGGGTTTTGCAGATAGAGATGATGTCAGAGGCAATTGATGAAACACTTGACAAAGATGAAGCTGAAGAGGAAACAGAAGATCTCACTAACCAGGTTGGTTACTGCAACAGAATCACTAGAATAATACTTAAAACACATGAGAGTTTTCTCCAAGCTTCTTCATTTCACCTGTATTGCCATCCTTGTAGGTTCTTGATGAGATTGGAGTTGGTGTTGCATCTCAGGTTGAAGTTCTAAACATTTAAAACCTTGAAGGGAAGTGTTTTTTTTTTTTGTCGCACTGATCAAATCTGTTTCGCACTTTTTGTCTAAAACAGTTATCTTCAGCTCCAAAGGGCAGGATTGGAACGAAAACTGCTGCTCCTGCTCCTACCACTGCCAACAACAAGAACGAGTATGAATTATGAAGATACAATTGAGTTTTCATCATTTATGATCTATTATTTGGATAGTACATTCATTTCATACATCTTTAACTTGTCTTACAGGTCGGATTCTACTGAAGTGGAGGAACTAGAGAGGAGATTGGCTTCATTACGACGAATCTGAGACATGAAACTTTCTACATCTTGCATCAAAAGAAAGCAGTTTCTTCGTATTCTTGTGTAAATCTACTAATGTCACAAACTAGATGTCATACGTTTAAATCAAACACTTATAGATATATATATATATCATCGTCAACTTTGCAAGATGTTAAGGTCTCTTTTTGCTCTGTCTTAGCTTTTTTAGTTCTCTATCCTCATGAGTCTACATCAAAAGCCACGAAGATCAAACTAAGAAGAGATATATAATAATTTACAGATTTAAAGAAGATAAGAGGTCACCATTGGAAGAAGACCAAGTTGGAGGATGATGACACATGAGATTCCCCATGTCCACCCCATTACTTATCATGACCCCTTGTAATGAGAATCTTCCATTAAGAAAACCTCATTAGACTGAACCTATCTTTAATTAGTGCCCAGCTCTCTCAATATATTCACAACACTTTAAATAAGAAAACTGGGTAAAGCAGTTTTTTTCACATTTGGGGTTTATTTTCTTGCTGTTTCTTCTTGTTCTTGCTTTTGAACAAGAATCACTCCCAGTGCTGGTTAGTATTCCAAACATATATATATATATGCCAAATCAGTTCATCTATATTCATATTCGTATGATGAATACTTAAAACCATGACTGTTAGCGTCATTACAGAGGAGAGTGAGGCAGATGTGGTGGTCGCATTCCATAAGCTCTCTCTTTCCTCTTCTAAATGATATATATATATATAACATTTCAACTTCCATGTTTTAGTTATTTGTGTAATTTCCAATCATAGAGTTCTTTGTACACTTTAAAAGATCGAAGTCATAATACAATTAACTTTTGAGTAATGTGAAATCCACATGATAATTGTATCCCTAGAATAAACCATTGATCTTCGGACCCAAATCAAATGCACGAGTTATACGGAGGGCTAATAAATCAAGAAATATATGACATTTTGATTTCAAGTTCTTATAGAAAATGGCACAAAAAGAAAAGAGAAGTAAAAAACTCAAAAGAGTTTGAGAATCAAGAGGGAAACAAAAAGAAAGCAAGTAGATGCTCACTATGTGAAACTCTCTAAAACCCCCATTTTATAATCATTCGATGATAGACTGAATAACTCCAGCTCCAACAGTCTTACCTCCTTCTCTGATAGCAAACCTCATACCTTGTTCACAAGCCACCGGCACAATAAGCTCAACAACAATCTTGACTCGATCACCGGGCATAACCATCTTCGACTCTTCGTCTTTGTCGTTCATAATCTTTGTCACTTTACCCGTAACATCAGTCGTCCTCATGTAGAACTGAGGCCTGTAACCTGCAAAGAATGGAGAATGCCTTCCACCTTCTTCTTTCTTCAACACATACACAATTGCTTCAAACTTGGTATGTGGAGTAATGGATCCTGGCTTAGCCAAAACCATACCTCTCTGAATATCAGCCTTTTGAATACCCCTAAGCAACAACCCTACATTGTCACCAGCTAAAGCCTCATCAAGAATCTTCTGAAACATTTCGACCCCAGTGACAGTGTAGTTCCTAGTTTCCCTCAAACCCACTAAATCTACAGTCTCTCCTACCTTAACCGTACCTCTCTCGACACGCCCTGTAGCTACAGTACCACGTCCAGTGATAGAGAACACATCTTCAACAGCTAACAAGAATGGCAACTCAGTCTGTCTCTGAGGGATTGGGATGTAACTATCAACAGCATCCATAAGTTCGTAAATCTTATCTACCCATTTGTTATCACCTCTCTTCACATTAGGATTCTCAGTGAGTGTCTCTACAGCTAAAAGAGCAGAACCAGAGATAATCGGAATATCATCACCGTTAAACTCGTAGGACGAGAGAAGCTCACGAACCTCAAGCTCAACGAGCTCTAGCAACTCTGCGTCATCTACTTGATCCTCTTTGTTGAGGAACACAACCATATCCGGAACACCAACCTGCTTCGCCAAAAGGATGTGCTCTTTAGTCTGAGGCATAGGACCATCGGCGCCGGAGACAACGAGGATAGCTCCGTCCATCTGAGCAGCTCCAGTAATCATATTCTTGACGTAATCAGCGTGACCAGGACAATCAACGTGAGCGTAATGACGGTTCTCAGTCTCGTACTCCACGGTAGCAGTGTTGATTGTGATACCACGAGCTCTCTCCTCCGGCGCTGCGTCAATCTCGTCGTACTTCTTCGCAACGCTGTTTCCCATGGAAGCGAGAGCCATGGTGAGAGCTGCGGTTAGAGTGGTCTTCCCATGGTCAACATGACCAATCGTACCGATGTTGACATGAGGCTTCTTCCTCTCGAACTTACCACGAGCGGCACGTACAGTGAAGGAACGACGAGTGGATTGAGAAGCGGAGGTAGTGGTCAGTGAGTAAGAAGGGAGGAAAGAGGAAGAGAGAGTTAGGGTTTTGAGCTTGCCAGAGGTGGAAATGGCGGAAACAGGTGCGGGATAAAGAGAAGGAGAAGGTGCGGAGTAGGAACAGAGGATTCTAGAGGAAGAGGAACAAGCGGCTGGAGCCGATATCGCCATGGAAGACGGATTTGGAGGAGGAATCGAGAATCCTAGGGTTTGAAATTTTTTGGAGAAGAAGAAGATTTGGGGATAGAGTGAGGTTGTATAGTGTGTGTTATCTCTTTAGAAGAAAACTAAATATAAAAATAAATAATATGAAGGGCTCATATTTAATCCTATCCACTGCAACTCCTTTGTCCTCAAGTTCACACATCCACAAATCGTGCCGTTTTTATATTCCCACGTCACACAAATCGTACCGTTTTCTACATTCATAAACGACAAGACAAAACCAGTGTCATCAGGGAAGCAAGAAGCTACATGTGTTACATCTAAAGCCTGAAGAGATTTTTATGGACTTTGGGCACTAAACGGCAAGTAAGTGAAACTCGAGTTTGGTCTCTGTGAAGAATCTTGTCACCGTCTTTTCTTGAATCTTCAATCGAGTAAGCCAAAGCTTCAGCTTCGTTAACGACCTGAACATAGGCATAGACACCACAATAAAGTTACTCTCCTTTTACACTAATGTCACCTACCATTTTACATTTTTAGATATGAGAAAAGAGCTTTGTGTTGCACCTGGTTGTAGCAATGTGTTGGACTATCGCTGATACCATGGAGGAAATCTGAAAACAAGACAGGATAATGAGAATATTGAGCGGCAGTTTTTAAATGGTTCCTGATTACTCTTCTCTCCCTCTATGTAGTTCAATTATAGGATTGACAATTTTACCTGAATATGCGTCATCTTTGAAGATGAGTAAGCTTCGAGGCCTCATCAAGACAGAGAATGAGTCTCTCTCAGGCACACAACCCTCTGCACCAAGACTTTGGTCTTTGGAAATGTAATCATCACCTGACCTTAATCTCAAATGTGGAGTGAAGTCCATAACGACAGGTGAGCCAAGAGACAGTATAGCTACAACAGGGAAATAAGCAGGTCCATCCTGGTGCGGCTGTGGAAATAAAAAACTTGCTCAAGAACTTAACAGTAAACTAACAACCGCAGAATAAACAAATTGAAGTAAGAAGCTGTGTAACTTTACAGCCAAAACTAAAACCAACAAATAAGTAAATAACCACGTAGAAGAACCAATAAGATAACAGACCATTATCCCTTGGTCAGGATGGTATTCATTGATGAGGACATGGTTTATAGCAGAAGGGAAGAGACCCGAGCTTCCATGAATTTTCGTTGTAACCTTTGTCAGCCAGGAAGGCACTGAAACAGAGAGAAAGATACATATATACATACTCTTGAGCATCTATCTAGAACTTAGATAATCAAGAATAATAGGAATATACTTTTTATCATTCTTACTTACATTCTTGTGGAACAAGACCCTTTTCATGGACCATACCACCTGAAGAGCAAAACCAAACCTCAAGACTCTTATGTTCCTTCAAAAAATCACCCAATGAAAACTAAAGCATGAGAAAAGTGTACCCCAGTTCTGTAATCGTCTGTTCTTTAATGTCTTCCACTTGGAACCAGAGGCTCCATATATCTTACAGGACAGCCAAAAGGGTATATACAGTAAAATTAAAAAGAGGAACAAAATCAAGATTTTCAAAAATGCAAAACAATAGAAGAGGAGAGTTTTATTACATGATTTAGGAGCTGGGTTTGCTCTTCGTCAGTTATGAAACCGGGAATGTAGAATACTGTCGGAGTAAGACCTACCCTGAAGTTATCTAACTCCATGCCTGTCAAGAATCAAACACTTGATTTAGATTTTTTTAAAATCAAATTAGAACACTTGTTACTGAATCAGAACTAAAACTGAAGTCTATTCAGCTAATTTACATCAAACCCATTTTAATATATCATCTAATAATGTTAAAAAGAGGAAAGATAAAGCAAAAGGGATAGACGAAACTAACCAGGAATTGCCATAGGAAACAATCGATAAACCCTAAATAGAGAAGAGTAAGAATCAAACAATTCTCAGATCAAATTGGCTGATGGGTGAAAGAAGAAGAATAAAACCAGGTTTTTTTTTGCTCCTCCCGCTTAATTAAAAAAGGTTTACATTACATCTCTTCTATTGGGTTTATAAGACCCCAAATAAACTTCCCTATTGGGCCTTCAACTTATATTTGGTAATTTTATAGAAAATGTTTATTGTCCATGTAACTTAATTGAACATTGTCTACTCGCCTCTCAGTTGTCATCTGTATAAGGTTCGTTGTATGATTGTGTTCTTTTTGTCAACAAAACACTTAAAAAATGGAAAATCTCGTTCAACCATCTTTCTTTCAACCTTTTGTAAAATGGTGTAGCTGACGGAATTCTCAATAAGTTAACAAGAAGTGACTTTTATTAGTGCACATGACAATTAACAACTATGAGTACTAGTCTGAACTTTGAACCATTTGCTTTCAGCCTTCTTCCCAATCAACATCGTCATCTTCTTCACCACCATCTTCTGGTTCTTCTGCTTCATCTGCTTCCACATTCAAATCCACCTTGTAGTTTCCATTGGCTGCAAATTAAGTTACATCAAAAGTAACCACGGTGAGCATCACACTATTCTTAGATATATCATCGGACCTAATCTCTAACCCACTAATACAGTTAAACTATGAGCATGTCTTAACAAGTTTATCTTGCTCACACTCTGCATATTCCAAAACGAAACTGTGCTTTCCTTGTATTTGGAGCATATGCCAATGCTCTTTTCCGGTTTTATACTTGAGAAAATAATAAACAAGGTTCCTTCTAAAACTAACTAATGTGTTGTTTCATGTGATCATGGTTAGCGAACTGGAAATGAAATAATAGTAAACTCAAACTGACCTGCAACAGGAGCTTCTTCTTCCCATTCAACATCTTCTTCTTCATCTTCTTCACGTTTGGACTTCATACCAACCTCACGATCTGAGAATGTAGTAGCTGTGGTTGATTCGCCTGCAGATTCTTGCTGATTCAGCTTTTCAGCAAGCTCTTGCTGCTCTAGTAGAGCGGCATAGTAAGCTTTGACGTACTCATCCTGAATTAAAATGAAAATAAAATGTATCAAGATTCTGGAAACAAAATCCACAAGATGCTACAGTGGGAATCTAAATAAACACATAATTTTTCTCCAAAAAAGCATGCCTTTAAATCCTTATCATCATCGCCATTTCCCATGACTGATTTCTTGTCATCTGAAAATTTTGCTGCTCCTCCATCAACCTTTGGTTCCTGTCTCATCTCTCCTCTTTGTTCCTCGGTCAGATTCATGCCTTGCTTGATCATCCATGGAGGTAAGACTTTCAGACTAGAATCTCCAACTTTAGATTTGTCATCTTCTTTTCCTTCACCAAGGTTGACCTCAACCTGACCATGTAAGATTAGAGAAATCAACAAAGCGAAAAATGCAGGGAAAACTTAACATTAAAATTCCATATACATTGAGAAGTATAACATAAAGATCACCTTTGTTTCTCCGAGAAATGGCATTGGTGTTGAACCATACCCACCCTGTGACCTCAAAGGATCATCAGGGTTAAGAAGACCATTTTCACGAGCAGCCTTAGCTGCACGAGCCTCCCATGCCGGAAAAGGTTCAAAGCCAGGAAATGGTAGGTCTTTTACTCTATCTATTTGATCCATCAGAGGTTTCAGGTCAACCTACATTTTATTTCCAACCGTGTCAAAGCAAAAGCTACATAACTAATGCCAGAACACAGAAGACACGAATCAAGCAAAACTAATCACTAAAAACAGCAAGGTACAAAATGAAACTTTCCTAACTCATAAACTTGAAAGTAAATTTGAGATGATGTCGAGAGTGGCTAATATATCAGCATGACTAAAGTGCTAGAACATAAACCATGGATTACTTGTTGCGAAAAAAATAACACCAACCACCAAGGAGACTTTTAAATAAAGCCAGATTCCTTTTTATTTTTTCACAATCTCAAGCATTGGACTGTTACGAACTCATCCCCTAGAAACTAATCAAGATCAAATATTGTTCTGATGTCATCATGAATATGGATGCACAGCTTCAGTGAAGACAAATCAATTAGTGTTTTATCAAATTTTCACTGAATTGAGCTGCTAAAACATTATACACAGACCTCCAGATTCTGAAGCCAAACTTTTATTTTCTCCCGCTGCCGTCTCCTTGCATTGTCACCTCCATCTACTGCTTCTTCGGAAGTTAGCTTGTTACATTCCATAACAAGTTCACCATTGCAACTTTCACAATGAAAACAATCGTCTTCCATAGAAATTAATCTCAGGGCATCCAGTGCATTATATCTATATCAGAAATGAGAATCTATTCAGTTTTAGTTAAGATAGCACAACCCATCAATTTGAGATTGAATAATATAAAGAGTAGTAGATTTTACTTTCTTTTGCAGTTAGGACAGCCATACTCCTGAACAGTATTCCTATCTTCTAGTTCATCTTTGAACTTTTTTTTCATCCGGTGCAGTTTATAACGAACAACATCATATATCTGTAAGAAAGAAGAAGTGCTAAAGGGTAGTTTCATGACTAAAAAAAAAAAAAGCAAACTGAAAGAAAAGAAAAGAAAAAGTAGTAGGCACATGAAGCATACCTGTGCATAATCAAGGCAGCAATATGAGTGTGTGTGGAACTTAATGTTGTCTTCTGCTCGACCAGAAGTTGTAGCAGCCACTGCAAAACTATACATCTTCGCACGCTTTGCAGTCTATTGAAAAGATCGAGATTCAAAAACAGCAGAGTAAGGAACGAAGTGTTACGGGATTAAAGACAAGCAAACAATCAAACAGAAAAATGTAGAAAACGTGGTGAGAAAATAGAGCCACAAGTTGCATAAGGGGAACAAAAGTTTCACAGGAATGAGTAAAGAACGCAAAACTTGGAAAAGAAGTACCCAACTAATCATGCTTTCACACTCATGTTCTTCAATCATTGTTAGTAGATACTTTATAGCAATATGCTACTTATCATAAAACTAGAAGAGTTACTGAGTTATAGGCTTAGCAAGAACAATATTATGAACTAAGTGCTATATACCAATCTGAGTTATAGGCTTAGCAAGAAAAATATTATGAACTAAGTGCTATATACCAATCTGAAAGAACATAGTTTCTGCACAGACCTCTTTCCTGTGGTAACGCACGACAAATTTTTGTTCTTCAAAATGTCTAATTAATTTTCGAAGTTCCTTGCCATTCCGGTTCAACTCTTTTGCCAAGTCTTCTTCTCTAACCCATTGCCGCCTAGTAGACATAAAACCAAAGAAAACCCAGAAATGAAAGTCAGTGAAAACATAGCGGGTTTAAATAACCAATCTAAGCATTATCAACCTTAAACAGCCCATGATCAAGTTTCACGAGTTAGTCTACCTTTTCTCCTAAAACCCCAGGTGACAAAGAGATGCAATCAAACTTCAGATGTTATAAAAATTCAAACCCCATAATTGGGAAACTAAAGTGAAAACTTGAGATGATTGTGGATATAAATTGAAGAGATGCATATAAACCTCACAAGCGCGTCCAGCAGAAGAGCGGCAATCTCTCCGCTGCCACCTTTAGCAGATTTCTGTTGAGTATCGATCTCCGGAGTATTGTGTAAATAGAAAACCCTTGCTACAAGCCTCACCAGCCTGATAATTAACGCAAAGCAACAAACATTGATAAAAGGCACAGTTTAAACATATATCCGAAGATTTTGGAAGAGAATATGTGTGTGATTGGGATAGAAATGGTATAAAGAAATTACCTGATAAATGGCTCAAGCACAACAGTCCTATGCACCACCGTGACTGACTTTTCCATTGATTTAACAAAACCAGATACTAACATTCACCAGATGAAGAACCAAAGTTAAAGTTTGAGCCTTTGATACAAACCTCTGTGAGACCTCAAAACCCACAAATGCACCCAGATCACGCAATACGAGAAGGACTTCGAATTAACGATTGAATCATCACATGAGGAATAGGTACGATAGATTACACCTCACAATGGTGGTTTGATAAACAACGAAATTAGGGATTTTACGTTACAGCGCGTTAAACTCGAATCGGAACAACAAGTAGAACCCGACAAATCTAGGGTCAATTTTCTACTTTGACGGGGATAAATCTAAAGAGTATCAGTCCGAAGAGGATATAAATCAACGAAGGTTACCGGAGAGCTCGAGAGGGAACGAGAGCACGGCAAAGAGGACAGAGCCAGAGCTCGGCGAATAACAAACGGAGTTTTTTCTTCTTTTTATTGTTAATATAGAATGATCAAAGTGTTTTGGGTTGGTTATTGGGCCTATTTGATGGGCTTGAATCGTTCTCAATATATCGAGAAACCTCTCTTTCGTGTTCGTCGATAAAGCAAGAGAGATCATTAAATCAAGGCTTCTTCTTCGATCGTTCCTCTCGTCTGGTCTCTTGTTGTGAATTACTTCTCCTAAAGGAAAGGTTCGTATCGATTCGATTGATAAACGCTAGTTGATTTCGTTCGAAGTTTGGAGAAATGGAACTCAATTGTAGTGTTTTTAGGTTGCGGAATCATAGATATTGGAATTTCGCAGACCTTGATTTTCAGGATTTCGCCAGAAATTGGCCTTTTCAAACTATTAATCAAGCTCGAATCCTACTTTGTTTGGTTGATAAACACTAGGTTGAGCTCTTTTATAAGATCCGAGAAATGGAAATTGATTGTGGTGTTTAGGTTGCAGAGAATCTGGATATTGAAAAATTGCACCGTCTTAGAAACCCTAATTTTGAGGAATCGGCGTTTGTTTAGGTATTCTACGTTTGTTGGTTTGAGTTATATATTGTGTGGCCATGGTCATCTTCTGAAGGTTAGGATTACGTTTTTCTTCAGATGGCTCTAAAGGAGCAGCTAAATAAGTTCAACAAACAGCAAGAGAAATGTCAATCTACGCTTTCGAGCATTGCTTCTTCCAGAGAAAGAGCGGGGCCTTCCTCGAGGCAGAACGTGCCTCTTCCTGCGGCAATCAGTCAGAAGAAGCCTGATGGTCCTCCTGTCAAGTTCTCTAAAGATACTGAACGACTTCAGAACATTAACAGCATTAGAAAAGCTCCTGTTGGAGCTCAAATTAAGCGTGTCATTGATCTTCTCTTTGTGGTTTGTATTTGTGTCGCCCCCATCTTGTTGTTCTTCATATGAGAGCTTATTAATCATTTATATGACAAAGTTGGTTTTGTCTCTTGTTTGACTGTTTACTTTCAGACAAGGCAAGCCTTAACGCCAGAGCAAATAAATGAAAGGTGTCATGTTGATATGCATTCCAATAAGGCTGTTTTTGATAGTTTGAGGAAGAATCCGAAAGCACACTATGATGGAAGAAGGTTTTCTTACAAGGTAATTAAACATTTCATTCAAAGTGACAAAAGTTCTCATTTTTCTCTTTGTTAAAAGTTTGGCTTGTTTACAATTTTGATCTGCTGTCACAGGCTACACACGATGTCAAGGACAAGAGCCAGCTTCTTTCATTGGTGTATAAATACCCTGATGGGATTGCAGTGGTTGATCTTAAAGACGCTTACCCGAATGTATTGGAGGATTTAAAGGTATGCATTGTTATAATTGGCCAGACACTAAGATGGTAGTTTTGGATATAAAAACTCCATGTAAAAACTTTATCAATGTATTATGTGGATTCTTGGTAGACTTTGTGAGATCAATGGTGACATGAGAAATTGAATTGAAGATTCTCTAAGCATGGTCGCCTTAAATCTCCTACGTTTTTGGTTGGGCAATCAATTAGACAACTGTTATCTACGTTGACTAGTACTGAAACCATACCGGTTATTGTTTTTAATTGTGTTTCTGTGGCGTCAAAAGTGTATTTTGCTAAGCAGATGGAGAAAATATATGTTGCTTTTTGAAACCAAGAAGCTAACAGAAGTTTTCAAGATTGTCTTGTATTTTGCAGGCTCTGCATGCTTCCAGGGACATCTGGTTGATACCAAATTCACAAGAGGACATTGCGTACCCAAATGATTTCAAGTGTGAGATTGCAGTTGACGACGAATTTAAAGCTCATTTCCGTGACATAGATATCCCAAGCGACATGCTGGACGTGGAGAAGGAGCTGCTGAAAATCGGTTTGAAGCCGGCGACAAACACTGCTGAGAGGAGAGCTGCTGCACAGATCCATGGCATATCGAACAAACCGAAGGATAAGAAGAAGAAGAAACAAGAGATCAGCAAGAGAACCAAACTCACCAATGCCCATCTACCTGAGCTCTTCCAGAGCATTAACGCCAACAGTTCCCGGAACTGAACCTCGTAAATGGATATGATTATGCGGTTCAAAATTCAAAATAATCATGACTTTTTATCACTTAAAAAATGTATAACAGTGGAGAACAAACATATTGTAATGGTTATGACCTCAAGTGTAACGATGGTTTTCAAGCATTCTCACAATATTGGTTAGAAATATAGAATACACATTTGTGAGTTCGTCTTTGCTTTAGATTGTTGCTAAACAAAGATCATCTGATAGCTGGAATAAATAACCCTGAAGAGTTGGCAGTAAAACAATCATAAATAGTTGTTGCTAACTTGCTATTGTAACCGATTTACACCATTCAGCATTTTTTCTTACAGGCCCTTGAAAACATATCCCTTATATTCTTTGATCCAGTCTCTACCTTCGCTTGCTTTGTCTGTTTCCCAGGCTTCTTTTTTGCTTTCTCCTAAGAAATGTAACAAGTAGGATTAGTAACCAGTAACAAAAAGAAAATTTAGAGCTATTGTCTACAGTTTTTTACATACACACACCTGTAATGAATTCGAGGATGCCATGTTATTCTCACTTGCAGTTGCAAGATTCTCCATATTTGTGTCTTTCATTGTCGGGTCAACAAATTCCAGGCTGTAAAAGAAACCAGGGACAATGAAAGCTTTTGTAAGGAGTTATGATTCTCTTTTGCTGAGTGATTAAGGATTCCAGATTTTAATTTCAAAAAGTACCCAAGATGATCATAGAGAAGCTTCAACCAATGCTCTGTCTTCAGGTACTCTCCCACAATTGAAACAGCATCTACCACTGCACAAATTAAGGGTGATATCAGTGAAAACCCACATTACACCAACACCTCCTAGAGATGGCACCATTTTTACAATTAAAACACAGTTAAAAAAGAGTATATTCTACAACTTACATGTTTGTTTCTCATCTTGAGCTGCATAGTTCTTGTCTAATTCTGGTAGTGTCTTCTTTAAACAGTACACCTGCGTTCATTTAAGTGCATGCACATTGAGAATCTAAAATAACTAAGATACAAGCTAACCTGCATTCTCTTTCCCTTCTCCAATCAGTGAGTAAAAGAATTATGTAATGTAAAACAAAACCAGCTAAGAGTGCAACATTAGATTAAGCTTCACTCTAGAAGAAGCAACTCAGAATTTTCACCAAAAAATATTTAAAAGACATATAAGTGACAAGACATGTCTCCTTCCTGAAGCATATGAGGTGTGTGAAACGTAATCAAACACATGTATCTCTCTCAAATGTATAAAAAAAGTGTCAACTGGACCGTTGAAAAGGTCGTATTAAATCATGTGCTGACAAGAGCATACCTTACAACTTAACCAAGCTAAAACTTTCGAGTTATCAAGCCGATAGAATTTCATAGATCCAACCTCTGCAAGAAGAGAAGAAAGAGGAATGAGGAAATCTGTTTAGTGAGTGCAAGTGTACAACCATGTTTTCAGAAACCAGAGAACAGCAGTTTACCTTGAGTTTGACAAACAATTTCCATACACTTTTCTGCAAGTGACAACAATTGTTGATATCCAGTATATCCTTCCACAAATAAAATCTCATCCAGTTGTCTGAACTTTCCAAGATCTTCACCTTTCTACAGGTCAACAATTTAAGAACACGATTAACATTTCCAAAAAATGGAAATCAGACAGGAAATGATAATGAATTGAGAAAATTCAAGGATCATAGAGAACCTTCATTCTTGCTTCATCAAAAATAGGCAACAAAATGAAAACAGGATCAACTGGAGTGGCCATATATAAGCTTCCATCTGTAACAAGAATACAGTCATAAACATCAGGGAAAGGAAATATAGTACTGATGCTGGCTTGCGTAGCATATTATTATGATCAAATGACGAGGAAGTAAGCCTTTATATACACCTAATGCTACTTAAAGATCAACAGTGGAATACCTTCAGAAATGTAATCTCCCAGGAGCCAAGAACCATACGATTGCTTAAACCATTGAAGTTCTTGAAGCATCCCATTACTAAAAAGGTAGCATGTTCCGAGTTCTGCCATATGAACAAACATACCACAAACCACATAAGATGTTACTTGCTGATTTATTCCCAACAACAATATATACTAAGCCTGTCAATAATTTACATCTCATTACCCGATTTTGGATGGCGAAGTTTTAATAGTTCCCCGGGTTTGTTTCCGCCACAACCTGAATCTTTACATATGGAACAAACAAGAAAAAGAGATTATGTTATCTAAAGCATTAAAGACTTCCCACTGTCATAGCCAAGGAAGAATTCAATTGAAAGAGCAAAGCAAATGATAGAATTCTTTGGAATAGTCAGCACAACCTTTTAAGTAATCTTAGAGAACAAAAACTTATGCTCAATTTTTCATTTTTTATTTAGACCTAACTTTTCCAATCATCTAAGTCGTCTACGTAAAATCTCACAACCATAATTGAATCGGAGGCCATAAATTTTAAATCCTCAGAGAAAATCTGCAGTAAACTGTAGAAGAGAGAACCTGGAGCGATAAGAACTCGTGTCTTCTCGGCCCCTTCCCACCAAACAGTAGAACTCATCTTCAAAATCGTTATCTTTCAAGCTTTACCAAACCAAAATTTCCACGATTCTGACACCAAAAAGATAAAAAAAAGTCACAAATACAATGTGAAATCGCTACAACAAACTCAAAGAAGACGATATACTCTTCCCAAACCGAAGTAAACTTCAACAAAACCGTAACACTAGAGCTAGGCGTGAAAAGACTGAAGATTGCGAAACCCTTAACACCAATTAGATTATATACCTTGGTGAAGACAAGAAGGCTCGTAACTAGTGAGGTAAACGAATCAAGACGAAACTTCACTAAGACATTTCAACGAACAGTTGGTGTACAATATCGAAACTCAGAGCCTAACTGTAGATTCAGAACAGACAGAGAACATTAAGTGACGATCAAATTCCCCAGATTGGCGCCATCAACATAAGAAGCGCGCGCATCTGTTTGTGGGCTTAGGCCCATAACAAATTAAAAGAAAATATTTCTAAATAGACCCCTAACTTAACAAGAACTGACAAGTTAAGTCCTACATTAGTTTTAGTAACAATACAGTCCAAATTAGTGAAAGAAGCTTCAATGGAGAATCTCACACAAACTTGACAATAGCCAGTAGAGAAAAAGAGATCAAACTAGTTTTATAACCATTAAAATAACAGATAACAAACTACATTAACATACAGAGAAATCAAACCATGTACCGGAAAAACATCGGTACTTCTCTGGAAATATTTAAACCATAACAACCCCATAAAAAAAAACCAAAAAGCTACTTAATAATAATACTACTACATAAGAATCCAAGAAACACAGCAACAGAGAGCCAATCTCATGACTCTCTAAATACTACCCATTACAAAAGACAAAGGTATATTCTAATGCTGCTTGTGTTTAGTGTTCTTCTTCTTCTTCATAATCTTAAGAAAAAGCATCTCATAAAAAGCCAATCTTCAAACTGTACAAAATCAGAGCCCTTCTCTCTTTCCACAGGTGAAGAAATCCATGTTAAAAATTCCGGATAAAGTAGCTTTTTTGGTTGCAGAGAGAAGTCATTGTTGATGCTGACACGTTCATGAGTAGACACGATCACATAAACTGTACAAAACACTGACTGGCTTTTTTGGTGCGCCTTTCCAATAAACTCTCTCAAATTTTCCATTGGGTTGAAGACGTGGAACAACAGTTTCTTGGCAGCTTTGTTGCAGTACACTGTCTAGTTCTCCACTAGCTGCTCCAATTAGTCCTGCAATTTTAAAAAAATCAAGGAAAAAGGTTTGGTTTTTAAAAAGTGTACCACAAAAGAAAGAACAGAGAAGAGGTTTGGATTTAGTGTTGCTTCTATTCACCTAGAAACAGAGGAGATGGTTTTCCGGGTCTTGATTTGTACTCGGGATGGAACTGAGCTCCGATGTAAAATGGATGGTTAGGCAGTTCAATAATCTGTATTATCAAATGTAAGGAATTATAACCAAGAAGATGAAATTTTTTATGTGGTGCAAGGGGTTTAATTATAGGTTTTTACCTCCATTCGCTGACCCGTCTCGTCTTTTCCTGTGAATGTGAGTCCAGAGCTCTCAAAACGTGGAACCATGGCTGGATTCACCTGTAAGAAAACATACTGTTTTAGCTTAAACTGTCTAAGAGATAAGTTTTTAGTATAATCTGATGAAAGCTGCTTTTAGTACCTCATATCTGTGTCGGTGTCTTTCATCGACAAAAGCTTTGCTCCCATATCTGAAATTTCAAATAAGATACTGGTTAAGCTATCAGAAGATGCATCACGTTGAGACTTTTTAGAGTGGAAAATACTCTGGTACTTACAGTTTTGCAGATTTGGAGTCCTTAGCATGAAAATAAGTTCTTCTTGAGCCTAACCTCATAGTGCCTCCCATATGCGTTTTAGACCCCTGCTTCAAACAATATTCACACGAAATCCTGAATTAAGTAGAGAGCGAAGTACTTGAAAGTCAAACAAAAATTTGGAAGGGAACAAACCTCAGGCATAAAAATCACACAAGGGTTTTTGGTGTTGGCATCAAGTTCAGTGCTGTTTGCATCTGGCATACCGAGTACGGTTCTTGCAAACTCAATCACAGCAAGCTGCATGCCCAGACAGATACCAAGGTATGGAACTCTGTTTTCTCTGGCATATTTCGCTGCCAGAATCTTTCCTTCTACACCTCTATGGCCAAAACCACCAGGCACAAGAACACCATCAGCACCCTGAAGAAAAATTACATCGACCAGATCAACAGAAAGTTCATATAGACACAAGAAAATCAGGATTCATTTGATTGAAATGAAGTATGATCAGACCTTGAGTAACTTCCAGGCGGCCTTATATGCATCCGGATTCTGAAAATAGGAATCATATTGCTTCAGTCTTAGGTTTCATAATATGTCTAACTGATAGAGCTTAGTGTAAGGTGTAGATATACCTCCTTTTTTACACCTTGTTCAAGATCACTAGCTGAAATCCAATCTATGACAAGTTTCTTGCGCCTAGCCACAGAAGCGTGCAAGAGAGCCTAATAATTAAACACAAGCTTGTGAGGAATTCGATCATTTAAAGGCTCAGATTTATGGTTACAGTTGTTGGGATAGATATATCCTGCAAAGATGTACCTTGTGAATGGAAAGATACGAATCCAAGAGCTCAGTGTATTTCCCAACCACAGCAATTCTTACCTAAAAACTCAAAATATAATGAAGTTAGTCACCAGCTGACAACCAGTGATAAAAACTAAGGCTGAAATGTCATGGAACAAGGAACACACCGGAACATGTAACTTGTCAGTCATTTTAGCCATCAAAGACCATTCCTCTAATGCAGGCTCCTTTGCAACTCTGTGTATGAAAATATCACACAATTGACTCCCACCAGAACCAAGATTTAAATGAATAAAGCTATCTGTTTGAGAATATGAGTAAGCTAGACTTACCCTTTAAGGTTCAAAACACGCAAAATTGCCTCGTGTGCCTTTTGTTCCTGAAACAAATTGAAATGTAAAGACATTGGTGATGAGCACTGTTTACTGAAACTTTGAAACTATGGTTTCTGAGAAATTTACTCACTTGGAGAAGCAATGGAATGTGCCAAATGTTGGGACAATCGTAGAGAGTGACAACGTTTTCCATCTGCAAATGAAGTATATGTCATGAAAAATGTTTATATGTACAAAGAGAAAGATTAAACCTTGTCTTGCAAATATTACATACCGGGACATGGCAAAACTGAGAGAGTTTGGCCTTCACATTATCCTCAAGTGGCTACAGAATCGAGTTCAATATAAGAACTTAGAACCAAGATAGACGAAGAACGTTATCAAATACAAAAAAAAATTACAAGGATGAAACCTTTGTGCTTCGGCAAGCCAAGATATTGGGGCTCAGTCCAAGACCTCTCAAGTCTCGAACGCTATGTTGTGTTGGTTTAGTCTTCTGTAAGCAATTAGATATTGTTAGGACGACAAATCCAAACAAATTAAACAAAATTTCAAAAGTCAAGAAACTTGCCTGTTCACCAACAACATTCAATACAGGCACAAGACTGACATGGATCAAGCAAAAATTCTCAGATCCTGAAAAACACACAAAACCATCTCTTAAGTAAACTTTTATTGTTATACCCTAAATGAACAAAGACACACAAACCATCTCTTACCAACGCGATAGGAGAACTGCCCAAGAGCTTCAATGAAAGGCATGGACTCTATATCTCCTACAAAATCCAAAGAGTAGCTCCATGGTGTTAAAACAAACTGAATCAAAACCTGACACTACTAGTTAAAAGTCTCTAGGGAAAAATTACCTATTGTGCCTCCAAGTTCAATGACACAAACATCAGCTGGACCAGACTGTCCATCAACTGGAATCCTAGCTGCACGCTCAATCCATTCTTGAATAGCATCAGTGATATGAGGAACAACCTACATAACCCAAAAAGGAACTTCAATAAAACTTCATCCCTCTCTTTCTCTCTATCACAGAGGAATTTCATCAAACACATGGTCTACGTGACTATATCAATCTTGTTTCTTTCTAGTTACCTGAACAGTCTTCCCAAGGTAATCTCCTCTCCTCTCTTTCTCAAGCACATGCTGTTCACAAATTACAACGTGTAAGTTGGTTCACAAAGTTTCAATTTTTTTTGTATTTCAGAACTTCCACAAAGACACAAACGGAACCTTGTAAACTTTTCCGGTAGTTATGTTGTTTTCACGTGTCAGCTTGATATCCATGAACCTCTCATAGTTCCCAAGATCAAGATCAACCTTTTATTAACACACACAAAACAAAAATAAAAAAAATTCAATATTTTTTTAAGAATTTCTTGTTGTTGTTGAGCTAATTAAATAATAACAAAGAAACAGAGCAAATATGGTGAAAGGAGTAAACCTCTCCACCATCGTCCAAGACGTAGACTTCACCATGCTCAATAGGTGACATGGTCCCAGCATCAATGTTTAAGTAAGGATCTGCAAAATTTCACATGGCCCTTTAAATAATCAGTGCTCTGTTGTACAGTAACTAACAAAAATATTTCAACTTTTCTGAAAAGTTCATGAAACTTTGAACAGGGTTTAACAGGGGAAATTAGAAAAAAGTTTAAATCTTTGGAAATTCTAATGATCTTTCTAAAAATTTTATTTGTAACCTTTTCCACACGCGTGAGATGTGTAGAAGAAAAGGGAAAAAAAAAACTCCTTTTTCATGTTTATTGTATACCACTGGGGCCAAAAAAAAAAATCAAATCTGAAACTTTTCTTTTTCGCAAGTTTGATATCTTTCAAGTTGGTTGAAAAATGAAAAAGCAAAAGTGAAAAGATAAAAAAAAAAAAAAAAAAAAAGAAAAAAAAGAAGAACGAACTTTGCGTGATAACAAAAAAAAATGGCGACAAGTTCGTTTTACATGAACGAATTGGCAAGTATGGTTGTTGTTGTAGAAGAAGAGAAAGAGAAAGGTTAAATAAAAGACCGATTTTAATGGCGGTGACTCGGAAGCCACAGGATTTGAGGATGAGTCCGATGCTACTTGCTGTAACTCCTTTTCCGAGTCCACTCACTACTCCTCCTGAAACAACCACATACTTCATCTTCTTTCTTCTGTTTCCTTAACCACTTCGTCTTCAAATATGACTTGTCTCAACTCAGTTTCCTGCAAAAAAAACAAGAAAAACATACCTTTCTAAGCAAGAGATAGACTAAAAGAAAAAAAGAAAAACAGAGCATAGAAACAGAGAGTAAAGCATATAACTTTAGGTTCGTTTCAACGGTTCTAGAACTCATAATGATTATAAGAAACCTGTTTCATTTACATGTCCTCCTGATTAAATTTATGTTATACAGAAGATGTCCAAACTAGTAACTAGCTTAAAAACCAGAGGAAGACTGAGGAAGTCTCAGTGAGGTTTTTGGTTCTTTTTAAAGCAAAATAGAGGACCCAAAGACAAGAATCTTAAAGAGTTCTTGAGTTTGTGTAACAGAGGACCCAAAGACAAGAATCTTAGGAGTTGAAAGTGTAAAAGAGAGTTTTAAGTAGATGAGATATTTAATCAGAAGACAACACTTACCTAATACTTATGAAACGAGAAATGTAAACTAGAGAGATATATCCAAAATGTGAAAGTGAATTGAACGAGAGAAGGTGAAGGTCCTTTTTATAAGGGGAAGACAAGGTCTTTCTTCTTCTTACCTTTGAACACAAGATGACTCTCCCCCTTCGTATTTTAATTAGCAATTTAAAACTAATTAATCTTTCTCTCTCACTTTTAATTTAAATTTTTACTATTCATTAGAGACAAAAAGAAAAAGGACAAATCTATTTACACTGTGTTTAACATGATTAGGATTTAGGAGGACTATGTTTCTCTTTCCTATCTAATATGTTCGGATTTTCATATCTAATCGATTTTTTTGTTTTGTCTTTTTTACATTTGTTAATTTACACACTGATTAATAATAAGTTAAAAAAATAAACCATAATGAAAATGAAATGGATAATGAAAGTTTAAAAATAGACTGTTTCATAGTATTTTGTTGAGGTGACTAAATAATATCAATTTACTATGGCCAATGGCCATGGGCCATTCCATATCTTTTACCTACTACACAACATAGATCCAGTAAATGAATCTCGATAAAATTAAACAAATATCATCTTGTAGAGGACCTAGAGGTACTCATATATATAATATAGATATAAATACATATTTAAGACCATTCCCCTAAATTATTTCATATAAATACATCTAAAATTATAAGATAAAATTCAATAAAAACTTATAAATTATATTGTATGTAAAATAAAGGTAAAATAAAATATAATGTTAATTAACTTTCTATGAAATACCTACCTATCAACATAAATCCAGTAAAAATGGTTCTTATCATATATTTTGATAAAATTAAAGAAATTTTACATAAAACATATAAATAATATTCATATAAATCACGTCTATAATTATAAGATAAAATTTAATGAAAATAATAAGTTCTAAATTTCTATGAAATACAAAAAAAAAAACATAACCACATTTCCACTTCCAAAAGTCTAAAAAAATACTTTGGAGTGCATTAATTCCATCTATTTATATAACTAGTACGTCATACGTATTAACTTCAGAATATATAAACATAAAAGTATATTTAAGTGTAAATTTGTTAATAGGAATTAGTACAAAATAATAAGAAAGAGGTTTTCTGTTTTTCCGTGTCGGATCCTATAGATACGGGACTGTGACTTATAGAGCCCTGTGAACCGCAATTTCAGCAACGCTTGCATGCGGTGGTCGTTCTTTTTTGTTTATTCTACCTACTAAGCTAAATTAATTGTTACTCTTCATTCATTTGTGCTTCATCTATTTACTCCATAGTATAGTGTATAACTGTATATTATTTCTATTGGATCGTAGACAATCATCGCCTAGTAAGTTGCGTTCTTTCAAGTTTCAACTATAAAAACTGATTATACCTACACTCAAACAGATTCATGAAAATGTTTTTTAGTTTTCATATGCATGCACTAGAGTTATAGACTTTTTTTTCGTTTTTGGGTCGAAAGTGTTGTAGACTAAAAGAGAATATGTTCAGGGGAAAAAATAAAAATACAAGAGTAGTACTATTTTGTTTTGTAAAGAAATATATTGTAAGAATAACAAAAAAACTGGAATGGGACTTACATTTTTGGCTCATATCACAAAAAGAGCAAGTGCTACATTTTAATTATTTTCGTTGCGGATATAAAAAAAATTTGCTTAACGACCTTTAAAAAGCATGATAAACAGTTTCATAATTGCCTTTGTTTTGGATATTAGTCTACTGTCTATTGTAGTAGCTTCTAAGTTTCTTTACCATGAGTTGCAGTTTACTTTGCAAATTTGATATCATTAGATAATATGTAAGTTATATATATTTTATTGATTAGTGACTGTATACTTTTTTAGAAGATATATATCTAATGTAACAATATGTACGACGGTGTTGTTTTTTTAGTAACTCTGAATTCTAAGGAATATGTTCCAATCGAAAATTCAAATTATGCAAATAGTAGCTACAGTAGATATATTGTGTATCCGATTTTTCTAATAAATATCACTATAATTAATATCATGACAATTTACAAACCCTACAGTAACTGTATATGTTAGTGATACTTGGTCTAGTCCTTAATTCATTACTAAACTACTCAACGACCATTGTATTACTCAACCTACTAGGCAGTAGCTAATTTATTGTGAATTTATAGTCACCTTGGATCCTTGAGATTTTCTTATAAGAATATTGATTTTGATTGAAAATGTATTTTGTGATTATGTACTTTAATTAAATTAACTTAGAAGTCACATGGTGTACCATAAATATTTTCTAGTTGAAGGAGACATATAAAACTATGAACTAGTATTGTCGTATAGTGTTAACGGTTAAGTGTCAACTAACTAATGATGTACACTAGTATAAAAACGAACATTGTCTACAAGAAAAATAAATGGATTAAAGTGGTAATAAAACCCCCCAAGGCGGCAGTTAGGTTAATGGTATTTTTGGAGATCTAAAAATTAGGGATCATACTGGGATCCACATGCATCTGCTATTGTTGTGCGTATCAAGAAAAAAAATTCATTACAAAAATTAAATGCCTTGACCAAATTTTATGTAAATTTTTAAAATAACTATACGCCACTGTCACAAAAGTAAATTTCTAGCAAATTTTTAACAAAACAAGTGAACACATTTGCCAATTTTCTTTTTATAAAAAAAACAAACAAATAAATATTTGATCAAGAGCTGACCTGAAACCCAAAATGATTTGGCAAATAACTTTTGAAATAAATTTTTATACGGAGATATATAATCATTACATGTTAATTAGTAAAGTTCAGCGATACATTCAATATTTTGTCTTGATGTGTTGTTGTGTGCTGTTATCGATCCATCTGTTTGATTTGTGCTAACGGTATATATATGTGTTCGGTTTGTTATCTTTACTATACGTCCATCTCAACCTTGTTTATTTTTGGTTGCCGCTATCTAAAATTGTAACTCTAAATGTAATCATCCGAATTCAGAAAATGTTGTGTACATACATATATAGTTATCAATAGAACTCTTTTTGAACGGCTCGAAGAGAGAAATGGAAATCAAATAAACATTAATATATCCTTTAATTACTATATTGGTAGGTGTTTTTTCTTTTTGCTCTTTGGCTTGGTGTTAAGGTCTTTCAAGTTTCGACGTCCATCGATTTATGAATATTATTTTCTTTAGAATATTTATATAAACACTACCACTTTCAAATAGATGCTGCTTACCTTATGTATAACACTCTCAACAGACGATTAGATTGGTTCTATAAGGTTAGGTATACCGTTATCTCTTGAAATAAAGCTGGACTATATTCTAGATAGGAACAGTTTTTAAACAAGTAAAGGTGTATGAACGACTAATTAAGAATCCGTAGTTAAGTGGATCAGTCAATCCATCCGTTTAATCAATATTTTAGTGGACCGACTCGCTAAAGAACATATATATACCATTCAAATTATATATATATATATATAGTAATGTATTTTTATGAATTTTGTGGATAAGTTAATTAATAATGTTATCAAATTACTACAAGAGTTAGGTTTTGCAGTGTATATATCAAAAATTTCGAAACATAATTTATTATTCAAGGTTATTGAATGAGGTTTCACCCAACTTCGACAGCAACATGAGAATCCGGCCCCTACAACGAAATTGATAAGACCCTACCAATAGTTTTACATGATCATATCTCGGTAAAATAAATATAAAATTGGTAAAATACTTATATACATTGATTCCACTAGAGATATTCCAATTTTATTTAGATATGTGCGATAAAGTCCAAATGTTTATTTTGTTTATTTCTGCATTTACATAGTAGTGAAGAGAAGGATGCATATTTATATACGTACTTTTGACTTTCATAGAGTATTAGTTAATTTGTTAGGATAATGTCCTATATTTATTTTTATATCAAAACTTTTTCCATTAAAAAAATGACGAACCATCGAACTTTTAACAAATAAAGAAACTCAACATTATTGTATTTTCAGATTTTGAGGTGGTTGATGCAAATAATACCAATGCATAAAATTATCAATGCCTATCAAAAATGGTTGATGCAAATATAATTATATTGATAAATCATAACATTATTAAATGTTTTACTTTGCATAATTTGCTCAATCTACGCTAAGCCTTTGTTGTCAAAAAAAAAATATATATATACGCTAAGCCTTTATTGTATCATTTAATACATTGGAAATTTTTATTAACAATTGGAGTATTAATTGGCTTAGTACGAGTGTGTATTACTTATACTTTTGTTGTTGTTAATGATTAATGAGGTTTCAACATATGAGAAAAGAACCAGGTGTGAATCGGGCATTTTTTTTCTTAAAGGTAAGTCAATAACATTTTAGTGATATTGGTTATATTTTTTTCGTTAAAACTGAAACAATAAATTTAAAATCGTAAAATATAGTAAAACGATGGAGATGAAATTCTATACAAAAAAAAAAGAATAGTGAAGATATACGTGTGTTATACTAACGGTTCTAAAGATTGCTCAAAAATGAATCTTTAATAGAAAATTCCATTAGTTAAATTCCAAAATATGCTTACGAAACTATTTTTTTCTTAATAACAAACAAAAAACTTAAGAAAAATAAAAACAGTCGGCATATCTTTAGATAATATTTTTTTAAAAGAAACAAAAGAAATATGAACACGGAAACACCCTTTTTCTCACAAGAAGCAAAGAATAATTCCCCAAAATATCCGACCAGAAAAGAAAAAAAAACTGGATAATGAAAATTTCATGAGCCAACGTACCGAAAGTGATAACTAATAAGCAAAAGAAAAAAGTAGTAGAAAAAGAGGAAAAGAAAAGAGATATATGAATTATATGAAAAAGAGATACTACGTGAAATAGTAATATATATAAATTAATTATAAAAAAAACTCCATAAGAATACTTATTTTTATAAAAAGGAATAGTGAAAAAAAAAACTAAAATAA